TGTGCCCAAATCACCACGTAGTTGCTATGCTAACACGCCCAGAAGAAGTGGTAGTCTTCCACCGACCCTTAAGCGGTTTCTGATAGCAATGTGGTCTATCTGTGTCGATCGCTTAGTTCAGCTTGATGGAAACCACTTCAGAGAATGTTTTTCTTCATGTCTGAAGTTTGTGCTGGGTAGAAATAAACGGTTATCTGAGCACAGTTGTAGTAGGTGACCATAGTTGCCTGTTCATTCAGTCGGGATTCCGAAAGTGCCACCTAGGTGCTTTTCTGCTTGGTTTAGCCCACCCACCTGTGCGTTGAAATCACCTGCAACAACAACTACATCTGAACTTTTGTCTTCCAGAAGGAGACTAGACAGTTTTCGGTAGAACTCGTCCTTCACTGCATCCAAACTGCAGTCAGTGGGTGCGTAAGCAGAGATTACAAAGCGACAGTGATGAGTCTCACTGTGACCTTCAGCCAGACAGCGCATAGGCGACTGTCAACTGAGATGCAGTCTAGTAGTGAGCTTTCTGGCCTAGTGCCCACCTGCGAGAGCTAGCCATCGAATCTCTAAAAACTCGGAGGGTGTTTTGCGGATTCACTATATTGGTGGGGAGAGGTTAAGTGAATAACCGTACTTGGTTCCTGTATGTGTGTCCCACAAGCACAGCACACATCCATGACCCTAACTGCTAGAGTTTTGGCCAGTGAAGCTTGTTGGCTAATTTGACAGAGGGTGCGAATTTTGAAGGCTCCGATTTGTAATTTGGAGCATGGTCTACAGAGACCAAGGATGCTGTTGTGTGGATGCAGATCGTTTTCGAAAGCTGCAGAGCTAGAAATTAAAGGTGTTGTCGGATTTTTAACTGATAGAAGTGAGAGAATATTTGAAAGTAAAGATAAAAGAGGTGGATAGTGGTCTGACGGGCGGTTAACACTTCCCGGCTTCTCCACACCCGTGAAGGCTAGGTCTTCTTGAGGTACCTGAAAAAGAAGGGTTGATATATGACCGCACAGCCCAGGAGATATCTGCTTGAGGCCGGTCACGTACCACCTTTTTGATGCCTTGACAATTGACCTGTATTATGAAAGATGCAGTCGGACATATGTCCTGTGGATTGGATCACCACTAACCACAAGTGACTGATCTAAGCCATCATAATGCATCATCTCTGTTTTAGAACATGTTAAGGGTAACTGCTTCTTGTTTAACCACTATTCAGCAGACTGTTCCGGTATCGTTGAACCTCAAGGAAATAAGCGTTTCACTAGCACAGCTCGTTAGGTTGTCGTGATATCCAAGCCCGCCCACCACGGCAAGGCAGCAGCTACTGGTCAGCCTGTGACTGAAACCCTGTAGTCGCTTCATGTCATCTATTTTTAACGACCATGTTTCACAACTCTATAACAAGACAGAATGGACTGCAGCGCAGTTAGGTTGTCCTTTGATAAATAGTCGGATATCTCGCCCGTCTGAGCCATAGATGACGCAAGTTGGCAAATGAAAAACAGGCCTCTATCCGAGCTGAGATTTCGTCACCAACCAGCCCGTTCGGCGGGCTGATGCAACTATCCAAGTAAGTGAAGTGGTTGACCCATCCCACCACTTCATTCCCTATTATTAAACTGGTAATATTTGCAGAAAACCAGTCCGGACCATCATCTTACATTTCGCAGGTGTCAATGAAACGCATGCCAAACATACTCAGACTTCTGCAAAACGCATTCACAAGACCCTGCATTTTGTCAGCCTCTTCACCAAGCAGGATAATATCGTCCACATACCCCAAGTCAACCAGATCACCTCCAGAGAGCAGGTCAATCCCTATGAAGTTTCAGGTCCCTAAGGTTATGTCCATTAATACATCTATAACGAAGTTAAGTAGGGATGGTGACAGTGGACATCCCCTAGCGGACATCACTAGTTGTCGTCAATTCTGACGAAAACTTTCCACAACTTACACGGCTCCATGAGTTCGAGTGGAGAGCTTTGATTAGCGTCATATGCTTTCTCAACACTTCCTTCACAGTCAGACACTGCCACAACACCCCACGGTCGGGTCAAATACTGTCTTCCGGTCAAGAAATATGGCAAGTGTCGGCCGCCGGTAGGTATGCTTGTATTCAGAAACCTGTCTTAGGGTAAGAATGTGATGTATGCACCCTCGCCTAGGTCTGAAACCTGCCTGGAGTTCTCGAATTTGGCGTTCTTGAACTCCGGTTAGGTGTCGGATAACTAATGAACCCTAGAATGTAGGACGCGATACCGGTCAAACTAATTTCCCTATGGATTTTCAAAAGATTTCTCTCTCTTCCTATAGACTGGGATAATCAGAGAAGTAGACCGGTCTGATGGCACTACCTCTGATTCCTATACACTACGTAGTGGAGCCGTGGCTCATTGTTCTAGGGAAATGGCTTTCAAACAATGAGTCACAGGTTCGAGACCCGCTCCACTTTGTGAGGTTTGGGCAGCCAGGTAGTATCAGTAGCCTTCACACAATAAGTGTAGCTCATTGCCTACTGCCCGAATGTGCACAAGGTTGCTGATTGCATTTCGATACACTATGTAGTAGTTCCATCACTTTAATTACAATTTTCCTACCTCATTCCGGCATCTACGTCCCATTCAGGTTCAGGCTGAATGTTGAGCAGCTGAAGCGTTTCTAAGAGCTAGCTGAACTGTGCTTCATAGTGTTCTACCTACTTGTCCTGAGATATTATCAGCATTCCATCTTTTTCGGTGATAGTTCCACTTACCATTGTCTTCTTGCCGGTATCCCTGATTAGCTTAATTAGTTACTCACCGTTAATGCGTTGTCCATCTCCCTCGCTTTCCTCACCCACCATTGCTCGCGATCTACGCAAAGACTTTGTCAACTCAGCTGCCTCATGTAAAAGTTCTAGTGACAAAGATTTTGATATGCGTCGAAGGGTTTGAAACTGTATATATGCTGTATTAAAGCATGTTCCTTAATAGAAATGAGTAATGCATTGAGTGAATTAGTCGATCCCATTCAGGTATTTACACTGAGTATACTGATATCACTCATTATGAGACAGCGGCTACTTAAACTCCATTCACTGATACCTCGTAGTATAAATTCACCGACCTACAAATAGCTTCCATAAATGCCTACAACAAGTGCGTATCACTTCAAGGAGACTTCGGATCTAGTCACCTTACAAGTTCCACTATATAAGAGTACTATAAGAGTAAAAGGTTGTAATTGGATATTATTATTCAAACCAAGAAGTACTTAATCTCTCTTGCGCTATCTTATTATGTCGCTGTGATGTAAGTCAAATCTTGATAACTGGGAGGTTTCGTTCAGATCAGAGATAAACCACGTGTCTGTAAATGATCCTATTATTGGTCGGAGTTCATCCACCAAAGCTATTATCTCATGAAGTTTGTTCCCAAAGTTGTAATCGTTGATGTAACATATTTGTTCTAAGTTTGCTTGGTTTATCCATAGGGATTTTGTGAACATTCTCTCCCAAGACCTGACTATCCAAGGACCAATGAACTTGAGTTCCTTCACCTCGTTCTGACGTCTAGTTCAGCTAGTGCTCCTCTTTTGATTTCATCTTTCATCGTCGAATCAAACCTAACTGTCAAAATGTGGTCAACAGTTGTGGACACTAAATGACAGTCAGTTCTGTTCGCCAAAACCTAATACAACTTTAAGACAAACAAAGTTGAGGAGAACTATCACCACTGACTAATACTTACCCTAAAGGCACTTTCGAAAAGAAGTTTCTGGAAGTGTCCGGGTTACTATCATGTTCTACGGGACCCAACCCTCCTGATTCATCTAGATTTCAAATGATCAAGTTGCATACAAGTTGTTTCCCCACTTATGTGGGTGTTTGCCGTTTTGTCATTCCCACCTGAACTTCTCCAAATGCTTCTTCCTTTTATACTGTCAGATCTTCACACTTGACTATCTATATATGTGGTTTGAACTGACGTATGACGTCCTAGATCAGTCGTATTCACTTGTCCTTCTGATCGGATTTTGGATTTGTAGTAACTCATGGATGTACTTTCTTCTTACATTATGTATATGGAAAGTGAATATTTTTCAGTTTGGCTAACTTAATGACCTTTTTTCAAACAAAAAATGGCAACAAGGGATATGTTATTTAAGTCGCGTTTCTGAAACTACTTTGATTTGCCGACAGTAATAGTTTAACAGATATTACCACACTCATCCCATGGATTCAGTGAATATTCCAACAAAGACAAGGATTTATACTGGGTGGTGATTGGAGGAGAAATGAAGATTTGGACCGCGGCCGGATTCGAACCAGTGACCACCGGGTCTCCGGCCCGATGCTCTACCAACTGACCTACGAGGTCCGACTGCTGACCAGATTTTTATCTCACTTCAATCACCAAGGGTTTTGCCCGACTACCATGTGAATTCGTGACTACCTCTTTATCCTATTCACACTGGCTGTTTATTCAGGACTTCTCATCCCAATCTCAATCTGAATTAGAGGGGGGGGAACATCATATTGATTATCATTTGACTAGTGTTTATACTGGGTGATGATTGAAGGTGAAATGAGAATTTGGACTGCAGCCTGACTGGGCAGCCAGGGTGAATACGATAAAGCGGTAGTAATGCGTCACGAATTTGTTTGGCTTATCGAGCTTTGTGGGAAAAATGTAAGTTAGTACAGTTGCAGATAGTGTAAATTCTAAGCTGTGTTTAGTCTCTTCCCGATCCCAAAAGTTCCATGATCTATTAGACTATTCAGCTTGGCAAAAACAAATATTTATTCAGTAGAACCATTCGTCATAAGTGACCACCTAACAATAGTTCCTACAGAATTCACATTCGCACACATCCGAGTCTCTCGAGTCGTTTTAACAATGAATATATATATATATATATATATATATATATATATATATATATATATATATATATATATATATATATATGATTTTCTCCATTTACACTATAATTTTTGAACAACTAGTACCTTTACTTCATTTAGATTGCTCAGTAAACTAATCACCAGCGAAATGACTCTTCGGAATATACTTGGACCTCAAGCTTTAAAAGGCATATGCAGCAAAAACTGGACATCAAGAGGTTTATTTGCTTGTCGCAATTCATTTAGAACCTATTCTAGTACTTTAGATAAATTACCTGATGGACAAATCCGGTATTCGACAAATAAAAAGTGGCATGCGATAATGAATTTTGTTCCTAAACCAACAGATACACCACAATATCAGAATCCGGTTATAGCGTTGTGTTGTATCGTCATTGTGACATACTTTTCATTTGTTCACGAAAGATCTGAGTTAGATGATATTTTAGACATGAATGTCGAAGATTTTCGTCAGAAAAAATTAAAAAGATGATCCATACAAAATATTAGTGTCTTTTGCGTAGTTTTCATACTTATGTGTTTCTTGTCACATAAAAATAAATGACGTATCTTCTTTTTTATAATGATTTTTAGCAGTTACAACGTCTCCTGATGTCATGTTTGAAACTTAGGATCCCCCAAGGGTAATGTGTAAAACAGAAGTATCAGAAGAAAAAGTTTTCCAACTAGAGAACACATGAGACATGATAACTGGTTGCATCACTGAAAATATGATTGATATCGTCATTGTCTGCCCATAGAGACCTTGTGTCCCGTTAGTTTTATCTTGTAATTCTCAAAACAGGTCAAATCATATATTCAGGTTGTCACACTTCAAAACACCACAGAAAAAGGGAATGAATTGAAAAATGATGATAATGAAGCAGATAAAGTAGGAGAAAACAGGAATAAATAGGTGAGAGTTGATAAAAATTTCAATGATAAAGACTGAATTCATTTTTGTTACTGTGATCGAATTTGAGTCATGCCACTGACAGATTTCAACAACCAAGCCAACTACACGGTTCAGAAACTTCTTAGCTCGGCGCAATTGTCGGTTTTAATAGATCCGCGATGTGAGAGAATGCGTTCCATTCGTGTATGCGTTAGGTCCAGTACCTGTTGCTAGTAATTCTATTAACAACAACACGTATTGAAAAGGCCTGAACACGAATGTTTGTGAACAGTGTATTTCAAGCGCACTTTGCCAGCACACCGAAAACAGCGCGAAGTGTACAAAGCTTGAAGAAAGTGTGTCGAATATTCTCAGCCAATCCTGATGCAGAGGAACATCTCAAAAATGTACAATAGCTAAAAATTGAATAATATGTTCCAGGGAAAAAAACTAAGGTTCTTACATGAGTCCTCCTTTAGAACATAGATATTAGTAGTAATGTCTATGTTCGACAATTAACGTAACAATAATAATATAGAGTAAAAGTCGGGGTTCTATCAATAGAAATGTTACAAGCTAATGTTGATACACAAAAACTACACGACAGAGTGAAGCGAATGAAAAATGTGGCATTCACAACAACATTTATAGAGTTATAAATAATAAGTGAAATATACGATATAAATGTGTGTAGATAAAAAAGGTTTAATAGTGTAAATCGTAGTGTTTACTAGGTTGGAATGATGAATATCATGAACGTATAGCAAGCGCAGATATGTAATTTCTCTTTTTAAAAAATGATATGCAACTGTTTGTGAGGACATTAAATGTATAACTTGAAATTAATTATTGTGTGGATAGAAAAAACATTAAAGAGTAAAAAAAAATTGTTGGGATCTGTGAGGCTTTGTTAATATAAAAAATGTTCGTAGTATGTAAAAAATGGTTTGTTTTCGAACACCTAATGTATACATAGTAAATGAAAGATGGATACAGATTGAAGGGATTAGAAGTAAATTGCTTCCAGAAATCGTTTGGGTCAATGAACTTACGTCCTTGATTTCGTGCATTTTTCTGTGTTAGGGGACGGTGGCTTTTCTCGTTTTTCATTTGTAGGCGTTTTTATTCCTGGCTGTCTTTTCTTTGTCGACAGGTTCCATGATCTCTAAAGCAAATTCCAAAACGGCTGGTTTTAGTCTGTCGACCCTAAGTTACATGGCTTCCGAAGTGGTCAATGGTGAATACTTTGTCTGTTCTCCTGATGAGCCTGTAAGATCTATCGTAGGGTTGTAACGGATTGCGATCCCCATCATGCCCGATAAATGTGTGAGTACAGTCTTGAAGCGTTTGAAGTACATAAAACTTGTTTTCGTTATCTTGGGGGTTGTGGTTGCAGATCGTTCATGTGAGTCGTTGTACATAGCTAAATTATGTGGAACTTCAGTCGCTTGATTGAAATAGTCACCCGGTAGTCTTAAAGTAGCTCCATAAACTGATTCTGCTGTACAACAACCAATAATATGTTTCACCATCGACCGGATCCCTAAGAGAACAAGTGGTAGCCTGTCACTCTACCTGAGTGACCAATAATACTGCTTTTATCTGTCGGTGAAGTCTTTCTACCATAATATTGGATGATGAGCGGTCGTCCGAAGTCTTTTGAATCCTAGTGATTCAGTGAGTTTCTGAAAAAAATTGTTTTCAGATTGTACACCTCTGTCTGTACTAATCATGGCGGGCACACCAAAATTTGAAATCCATTGTTGGATGGTATTTTTGGCGATTCTTTCCGCTGAAATGTCTCCAGTAGGAACTGCCACTGGCCATCTGGTAGAACGACCGATACACGTTAAGATGTAATTGAAACCACTAGATGACGGTAGTGTTCCTACGATGTCGACGTGTATGTGGTGAACCTAGCATCTGGTAAACGGAATGCATCTGAAAGAGCGAAAGTGTACGTCTGTACTTTGGCAGGATAAACCTGACTGTATCCATTTTCGTGGTTCGCATCATACCTATAGAACACTCGGTGATCCGTTTAGTGGTAGCATTTATCCCTTGATGAGAGATATTACGCATGCTGTCAAAAATGTCGCGTCTCATAGCATGTGGTGCATAGGGTCTGGGTTTTCCCGTTGATATGTCACAGATCACCTTAAAATTATTAAATTGTACTTCGGTGAACTTCAAAAGAGACATTAACTTCGATAATTCTAAGTCTGTCTTTTGCGACTTGGATAAGCATTTGTAGTTAACACTGGAAATGATTACTTTTCTGACGTGCATGCACGATAAGGCATCAGTGACTTCGTTATCACGGCCTTCGATGTGACGTTTATCAGACGTGGACTGGGCTATAAAATCTAAGTGACGTAGTTCACGCGGGGAACAATTGTCACGTTTAACTGTCAAACTTCTGTATAGCGGTTTATGACCAGTAGAAACGGTAAAAACACTTCCTTCTAGCATGTGTCGAAAGTGTTTTATGGCTAGGTGTAGTACTAGAAATTCTCTTCCAAAAGTGATATATCTTGTCTGCGTTTGATTCAATCTTGAGAAAAATGCTAATGGTTGCCATTTTCCGCTTTTAAACTATTGCACTACAGCTCCAACGGCCACATTTGATGCATTTGTCATAGGTGATAAGAGCGCGTTACTATCTCTGTACACTATTTGAAATTGTTTGTTTATCTCGCTCATGATTTTTTCAAAAGACCTTTCAGCTTCAACTGATAAATGTAAGGAGCGTGAACGGCCCCACAAACAGTCAGTTAATGGTTGCGGTATATTGGCACAGCGAGGTATGACACGATAAAAGTTGACTAGTCCCAGAGAGCGACTTAGCTTTTTTTATAATCTGATAAAGGATATTCTTTGATAGCTTGAATGTTGTCCGTTATAGGTTGTGTACTTCAGCTATCAAGTACGTGTCCTAAAAATCGTATGGACTGTTTCGCAAATTCGCATTTATCAAGATTTATAGTAATACCACTTAACCGTTCAGATGTGACAAGTGCTCTTGCTCGTCTTTGCTGGCAGCTAGTAGATCATCTACATAGGCATATAAAAAGGAGAAACCATGTAGGATCTGACTGAAAAAACGTTGAAACGTCTGAGCTACATTCTTCAATCCGAATGGCATGCGTACAAACTCATACAATACGAGGGATGTGGTGATCGCTGTCTTTGGGATATCTTCGGGACTAGTCGGTATGTAATAGTACACTCTAATTAGATCTATCTCGTCGATGATATTTGCATCAAACAAATTACTGGCGAAATCATGAAGCGGGAGTGGATATCTGTCTGGTATAGTTTGGCTGTTAAGAGCCCATTAATCGCCACAAGGACAGACATCTTGAGAATTCTTTTTTGCTACCATATGTAAAGAATATGCCTAAGGGCTGCTGGAGGGGTGTATAATGCTAAGTTTTAGCATTTTATCAAACTCACTCTTTGCTATGGTCAAGCAATTGGGACTGAGACGTCTTGGACAGGATATCCTTTGGTTTTTATGTAATGCCATCACACTATGCTTCACGTCTTTAGCTCGGTAGGTAGACTGAGTTAAGTATGGATAATGACATAGTAAGGCAATGTAGAGGCAAGTAATTTGGTGTGGAACGGATCTCAAATTCATCGATTTTCCATTTGACAAAATCCCGTTTATGGAAATGCTCTGTTCAGTGCTAAAAAGCCTGTCCTTTTTAGCATCTCTTAATAAACGGTAGTGCTGTAGGAAGTCAATGCCGATTATAAGTACCGAAACACCTGCCACGATGAACTTCCAAGACAACGGAGTAGTGAGTCCAAGAATTAGTGGTAATTCTCGTGTTCCGTACATCTTTATTTCAGAAGCTGTTCGCTGCTCGTAATAGTGTGTCTGGGTACTGTTTTTCTCTGTCAAATAGGGGTACCACACTAACTTCTGCCCCGGTTTCAACTAAAAGTTATGCACTAGTCGATTTGTCAGTTACATAAAAGAGACGACTGCTGAAATTATTCACGCCGTCGGCAGCAGTCGTCACAGACTGCCGGCAGGTTCTTTTCCCTGATGATGCGTTGTGGGAGCTACATGAGGAAGTGCAGTGTTTGGCGTCCCTCCCAAATTCACGATGGTACCAACAGAGGCTGGTGACCTCTTTCTACAATTCCTTGTGCTCCATTAACACTTGCCTCTGGATCGCCTGACAGGAATGCTTCCGCATGCTTAACATTACTATCCGCTCTGTCAAAAGCTCTATCTTCTCTTTCAATGCTTTATCTCTGTCTGCTTGTTGTGTGTGTATGGCAGAAGTGGTACATATGGTGGCAGACATACTTTCATATATACGGTCTAAGACCTCAGCTGCATGTTCTATGTAAAAACTAGTGTCACCTACTGCTAACATTTGTTGTATAAGATTAGCCAATTTCCTAAGCCAAAGTTGATGAGACAGTTCGTGGTCGATACTATGGTTACCCAGCAATCTTTTCATATATTGCGGAAGTTGTAACTGGGTTCTGTCTCCCGATTGTACATTACTGGAGAGTTTATCAAACATTTGTTGTTCGATAAGCGATGCGGCTTGAATGACTGCCTGTTTTAGGCGATCGTTTGGTGCATCTGGGTCTGATTTAAGCGATAACTGTTCGGCCGCTTCGCTTGGTAGACTCGCACTGGGGTATCCAAACTTCGCATTTTGCGGAGTTACATGATTTGATGTGAAGTAGTGGGAAGACCGTAATGTTAGATCGCTGGCATGGAATGGGCGAAAAGTACAATGAATAGCACTCACGGACCCAGTATGAAGAAAAATTTAACATATTACGAAATTCCATATAGAACAAAATATGTAGATATGTCATATAATGAAAGAAAAAAAGGACAAAACATAGAACACAGAGTTTAGAAAGGAAACAATCAAAATGCGGTCTACCGTAGGATACCTTCAAAGGTCAAATCGTACGAGGGTCAGGATAAATGCAACAGTAATATTTCAACATATGTTACAGTAATCCCAATATATTTAATTCCACAAATGTTATGTTAAAATCCACGGTTTTTTCATGAGTATAATTCCCTGGTTTAGAAGCAACCATAAGTAATGAACATTCGAGAAGTCGGGTTCACCAGTTTATCCCGTTAGCGCAATTGTCGGTTTTAATAGATCCGCGATGTGAGAGAATGCGTTCCATTCGTGTATGCGTTAGGTCCAGTACCTGTTGCTAGTAATTCTATTAACAACAACACGTATTGAAAAGGCCTGAACACGAATGTTTGTGAACAGTGTATTTCAAGCGCACTTTGCCAGCACACCGAAAACAGCGCGAAGTGTACAAAGCTTGAAGAAAGTGTGTCGAATATTCTCAGCCAATCCTGATGCAGAGGAACATCTCAAAAATGTACAATAGCTAAAAATTGAATAATTTGTTCTAGGGAAGAAATCGGGGTTACCTTAACCTGATGGACTGGTACGTTGCCCCACCAATGCTAGTTTTCTAGATTAATATTGCTTTGACTAACATGGCACATTATGGCAGTTAGTGGCTTGTTGTATGCAATGAATGTCACAGATACCTTTTTCTGTGTAGGTCTACAACCTCTTGAAATAAGTTACCCCTATCTAGTGATCTACTAACCCTTGGTATCCCATCCTGATGTGCAATAGACTTGTACGAAGCACGATTTAATTATCGCAGCCCATTCAGTTCAAATACACTTTCACTTGCATGCCTGTACCACTCACTTTTCTCACCAGGCGCTGTAGTTATGAAACACCAATATTTACGTGGGACTTCTCGATGCTTATTTGTTGTCTCCTCCTATTTACCCACCAATTCCAGTTCAGATGATTGAAAGGATGAATTCTATGAGAAGCTCTTGATTTTGCTAAAGAAAGCAAAATGTTCAGATAGAGTTCTAAAAGCAGATGGATGGCTTCCACCTTCAAGTACGGAAGCTGAGCCATCAGAAAGGTATCTGGAAGGTACTTACGGTATGCCATGCCAACAAACTGACGATGGTGATCGTCTGTTGCAATGTTGTTCACACAATCAATTGTTTCTGGTCAGCACCAAATTCATACCTAAGGAGGGACACTGTCTCACTTGGTGTCTGCCAATATCAAACTAAAGATGGACACAGATCGGATCTGTATAAGCCATCTTTGCAGGATCTCCGGAGTACATGTCTGGACTCCGACAACACGTTAGTACGTCTACGCTTACTTCTAGGCCTTACGGGTCACAGGAAACGGGCAGCAGTCAATGGGAAGATGAAAACTTCGATGCATATTCAGGGTTGAGATAGGTACGCATCTATCTGAACGTGGTAGCAACAGAAGGTAACCTACTTCCAAAGGTTAGAAAGGATAGATTTCTCCAGCTGTTTGCAACCAAAGTGGGGAATGAAAGCAGCTCAAACCTGAATTAACTAAGAGTCTTCGCAATGATCGCGAGCAGTGGTAGGTGTCGAAAGCGAGAGATGAAAAAGGTATCAGGACTGAGTAATACTCGGCGACTATTTGCACTGATTAGGGACACTGGCAACAAGAAGACGGTGGTTAGTGAAGCCATCACCGAATAGGATGTTGCCAGATTACTTCTCTGGACAGATGGCAAAAACGTTGCGCAGAACACTTCGAAGTACATTTCAACTGGCCCCTAACAACACTTCAGTTGCCTAGCATCCAGTCGTAGCGTGAATGGGACGTAGATGACCATCCCCCACCTTTCCTCGGAGTCGAGAAAGCTGGTCCGAACCCGTCGATGAAAAGTAGCAGAACCTAACGGTTTGTCACTCGAAGCTTTTAAGGATAAATGTAGGAAATTGCTGATCAGGGTAACGGAGGTACTAGACAGCGTACGAGAATAACAGATAATCCTGTCAGACTGACCTACCATGCTGATTATTTCAGTCCATAAGAAAATCTTCTTGTGAACATCATAGGAGAGTCAGGCTGGCTTACATTGTGTCAACGATCCTAGGGTCCACAGTTTTACGACGCTTAACTGTAGGCAACTAGACATGAACGAGGGTTTGTCAATCAGGGCTTCATCTGTATAAGCTCTGAGAAACACGAGGATGACACTTGTCACATTTATTGACCTAAAGGCGGCATATGACCGACAGGTTTAGTTGCAGCTTGACTTTAAAACGAGAGTCGAGCGAGCATGTAACGCTGATCAAAGTTCCCACTCGAACTCGCGTGGCCGTGTAATGGATTAAGAGAGTTGTCATCAGAACTGACGACAACTAGTGGTATCCGCTAGGGATGCCCGGTTTTACCGTTCAACTTCATAACCCTAGGTACTTCTGACTTCACAGAGACTGACCTACTTTCTAGAGGCATCTAGTTGACGATATTGTCCTGCTAGGTGAAGATGTTGATAAAATACAGGGTCTGCTGAATGCCTTAGCAGATATCTTACCCTGCTTGCTATGCGTTTTTCACTTTTCAAATGTAAGATGTTGTTTCAAGACTGGTTTGCATCCACTCTCAGTCTAAGGATAGGGAGTGAAATGGTAGAATGTACTAACCATTCCACCTACTTGAGTTGCATGCGCCCCAATTAGTTGGTTGCTGGCGAAATCTCAGCTTGAATACGATAGGCCCTTTCTGGATTTACCACCTTTGTCGACAGAGAGATATCTAACTACTGATTAAAGAATGATCATACAGTGCTGCAGTCCTACAATATGGCTGACATACATTAATATTGAAAGCAGATGTGAGGAGACTGTAGGTTTTGCTCACTTATGAGCAGCGTTAAGGTTAGATAGAGAGAACTAAGCATGGAACGCAGGTCAGTCGTTGAGGTTGTGAGCCTTCACTGACTGAGGTGACTTCGACACGTGTTACGCATACTCTGCGACCATCCATCTCGAAGTGCAATGTTGGCTGAAGTTGGATCGAGTGGGGGAAAAGCTGTGAGTATTCAGACCAAGAAGTGCCAACACTATAAAGTTTCTGACTGTTGATTTAAGCCGTGTAGATTGTCTGGTTGTGGTCCTGGAGATAATAGACAACAATGGTTGAAAATCAGCCACAATAGCTTACATTTATTCGTCCTTTAACTTATTCTTAAGTTTGGACATTTTTCACTATCCTTCATTTTTCAATTTTTTTTCTAGCTCCATACAAATCTGTATACTCTGCATCACTTTTCATACCCCCTTATTCTTTGTATCCTGTTGCGGCAGCTTGAACCAATGTACTTCTGTGCGAGGTTAAACTTTGATTTTGTTTTTCTGTATACAGAGATAATGACTAAACTTCTATGAAACCCTGAATCATGCGTGAATTCTAAGTAATGATCGCCGAGTTATCATTCCGGAGGTCTACTGACGGACTTAAAGAAACCAACGCTTGTTGTAGCTATGCTTCAAACACCGATTTCCCATCTGCTATCATCTGAATTAGTGGTACGTTGCCGAAAACCGAACATCACATTAGCTGTCTCCATCCAAATCATCCCGAATTAGAAAAGGAAAGTAACTGACTGACAATCGCAAAACCGTCTTTTATGGTCCTTATCAAAAAACTGATTTTAATTTACAAACATAATGACTGAAATTGGAAGTAAACTTGAATTATGATAGGCATCGAAACATTAGACCCTACCAACTGAGATACGATACTTTGCTTGTTTCCTCTAAATCGGAAATTACTTTCCCAATATTTACGTATCAAGAGTACGGTGCAATTTATAAATCATTTGCATCTGTAGTATATTTATCGAGGTTACATCCAGCATTTTCACAATGAACATTGCTTTTTAAATTACATATATTGAAAAACATGTACGATAAGGAAGTGGATACAACACAGAAAGGCAATGAATGTTATACATTAAAACCCGAGTTATGTAACAAAATCATTACAGTCTACGGAGGAATTTTCCAGTGTCTCGACCTAGAACACGTAATCCATTGTCGACTTCTGATTGCTGACCACCTTCATGGTATAGACCAAGTCGATTTAATAACCGAAGTGACAAGTTTGGTATGACAGGATGTAGAAGCAGTGCACATACTCTTAACGATTCAGCGACTACAGATAGTACACACTTTCGCCGTACAGAAACTTTCTCAGTCCATGGACTATGTCGAGTGATGAATGCATTGGCTAGGCGAACCACGTTCAAAACTTCTTCAATGGCATTGTGAGGTTGCAATTCATCCCACCAAAGTTGATCGAAACGATGAGAAATACCCTCCAGGCTTAAAAACAAAAAGTGTGGAAGTCATAACAGATCGTAAGGTTATTGGCGGACAAAGTTTTTATCAGATTAGATCCGAATATTTGACAGAAAGTATCCCATAAAGGTAATCAAAAAAATCTCAAGACGAAAGTTCTATGCTTGTTAGTACTATTCAGCGTAACCGTATACTTGGAAAAATCTTCCTTCCAAGAATTCAAAATCACATCGGAATCTACAGAAAGTGGAAAACGTTTTGTGATACCCTCTCGGACAAAAGCATATTTCACACTTGACGAATAATGTCAACTAAAAAAACCAAATGTCAGCAGATCACTACGTTGTACAATCCGTATAAGCTGACAATTCGTTGTTCTTGAGATGTTAAGAATCGATGATAGTGTTTGGAAACCGATTTCAACGGTGTAGATGTATGTACTTTTCGTCACATTCGAATTCCTAAACGCTTTGTGAAATATACACTTATTTGTTTTCCTTCTAGTAATCTTCTTGATTATCTGAATGTCTAACTGTAACACCACAAACGATCATGCTGAACTTCAGTGTGACAGTCTGTATCTTTCAACCCATCTGATATCGAAAGATTTGACTCAGACAATATAACAACAGCTCTTCCTGTTGACTGCCGATAGCCATAAAAGAAAATCAAAGTAGAACCTCGCACACAAGTTCATTAGTTCAAGCGGCTGCACTTCACAATAGTACACAAAGAAAAAGTGGATATAAAAAGAGTGATATCGAAGTAGATAAGGTTGTATGAGAAAATAAACAATCTGAAGATAACCTAACCATGAATGCACATATTCAACCTTTAGAAGATATCAAGGAGTGAATATATGTGTACCATTGTGATAGATTTTCAGCCATGTCACAATGAGTCCTCAACTACTGATTCCATTGATTCTCAGGGACCCCAAGCAGACACTCTACATCTTCCCACACGACTGAGACCAGCAGTAAGAGACTTTATGGATTGGCACCGCGTCTTGGTCTGGCCAGCGTGAATCCTCTTCAAACTTAATCCAATTTCCCCTATAGCATGGCACGTCGAGATAGGTAGTGACAACATGCGCAACACATACCTAAGCCATCTCAGTAGACTAAGGTTCACAAACTCGTCAATCGACCATCCCAGTTCGCCTAGTGACCCTCACTTCACCTCAATACTGTTCACACGGTGACTTTACCTCACAAGAGCAAGGCTACGAAGACACCTATCATCAGAACTCTGTAACCGCCTATACTCTTCTACTCCTAACGGCCATGTCCCACAGACGTACAACAGCAAAGAAAGGACTGTGGCACACTATACTCGTCGTTTGATAGATGGTCGGATATCTCGCCCGTCTGAGCCATAGATGACGCAAGTTGGCAAATGAAAAACAGGCCTCTATCCGAGCTGAGATTTCGTCACCAACCAGCCCGTTCGGCGGGCTGATGCAACTATCCAAGTAAGTGAAGTGGTTGACACATCCCACCACTTCATCCCCTATTATTAAACTGGTAATATTTGCAGAAAACCAGTCCGGACCATCATCTTACATTTCGCAGGTGTCAATGAAACGCATGCCAAACATACTCAGACTTCTGCAAAACGCATTCACAAGACCCTGCATTTTGTCAGCCTCTTCACCAAGCAGGATAATATCGTGCACATACCCCAAGTCAACCAGACCACCTCCAGAGAGTAGGTCAATCCCTGTGAAGTTTCGGGTCCCTAAAGTTATGTCCATTATTACATCTACAACGAAGTTAAATAGGGATGGTGACAGTGGACATCCCCTAGCGGACATCACTAGTTGTCGTCAATTCTGATGAAAACTTTCCACAACTTACACGGTTCTGTAAGTACGAGTAACGAGTGAGAAACATAAAAACTAGATATAGAGTTTCTTGCTGGCTACCCCCAAAGAAAAACCAACCATAAATTCACAATGCTAACCAACAAAATCATAAGAATAACCTGAAGTATCCAAAACGGCTCAATACACCGACATCAGTTGGCAATCAGTTAAAATGAATATATATTTTGCACAATAGAATATGGGAGGAAAACATTCACCGATATCAGCTTCATCACAAATTTCAGATTCTACAAGTCCGTGCAATAGAATCACATATATCCGTAATTCAATCGTTCCGCTAACAATTCGAAGAATACAGTAGAAAACACGCTTTGCTGTATGTGTTTCAATTCAACTCACATTACTGCATTTTCATACAGTACCGTCATAAATGAAATTTGACGGAATAAAAAGGTTTATAGTGGATTTTCGAAGCATGAAAAATTCAACTTATTTATTTACTAACTTGGACAGTTTATAAATTAAAAGATATGAAGAAATAAACGAAAATATCCAAAGGAAGGATAGGCTTCCACTTATGTCCACTTCTATGTGTATCTGCAAGTTCACATGCTCCTGTGGAGCTGACTATATTGGACGTTGTAAGCTGGTCCCCCGAAAACGCGTTGCTGAACACTACTCGGTTTGGCTTACCAGAGGCGAGCAAAGGAAAACGACTTCATCCATATGTGAACACCTTGTTGGATTGGGTCACTCAGCACCTCGAGATTCATCCTTGAAAACAGTTTACAAAGTTAAATTGAACTACTCCAAAGGTTTACGTTTTCACCATTTATGCATAGCTGAAGCATTAGCTATACATGAACAAAAACCGAAACCTTGCATTCAAAAACGTTTTGTGAAACCACTTTCCCTACCTTGGCCTTAACAACTCATTTTGTTGGTTTTATCAATTTTCACTTCACTTTGACATACTTCTCTTTTATTATCATCATTATCACTAATTTTCACTTCATTGACAACACTTGAACCATATTTCACTCTTTAATATCAATTCATTCCTAAATCATTGACCTATTGTACACGTTTCAGCTTAATTATCACCGTTTCACAATTCTTTGACAGCACTTGTCGCTGATCTCACCACCTGTTATCAGTTCGTTCCTTTTTCAATGACACATTTCTATCTCTTCCACTTGAACAAATACCTCCACCGATTGTATATTTTGCACATTGATTGAGCAACTTTTTAGTGCAAATATCTGTCACTTTGCTGAGTATAAATACGACTGTACAACTTGATAATGAAGTCGTTGAAAAGAAATATTTCTTCGCTGATACATGCCTTGCTCTTGTTAATGAATAAATGGGTATATTTCGTCAGCCCAAAGAAATTTGTTAGATTTCTAAGGCTTGTATCACCTGCCTTCGATAAACAGACAGTCGCATCAAAAAATTACACCACCACTGTAAAACATTGTTTTTCGATTCCTAATGAGCTTGGGTTATAATGGTTATTTTATGCACTGGCTGAAACGTATTGACCCAGACAAACGACTTTTAAACAGTAGGTGATGAAGTTTCTGAAGCCGAATAGTATAAATAGATGTAATCGACAGCTTAGTTTACAAACCTTCATGTGTTTGTTAAGCTGAATTGATTCACTCTGTCCTACTTTGATAATAGGTTAAATTGATCATCACCTTACATCAAAATATCCACCAAAGCTGATCATTCCTACTAAAGAAATTAATATTCGGATAAGATTTTGCTATTATGTTCAAATACTATCCGAAATTAAGGATCTTAAAAGTTCCCATCGTTAAAAGTAGAATAAGACACGTCAGTGAACAATATTATTGCTTTCATAATCAGATCTACTCACACCTTACTCTAATTTACATACTTTTACTTTTGTATAAACTATTTGTTATAATAAACGTGGCGGCCTGCTTAAAATTTGAGCTATCAAAACGTTTACAACAGATTACTCCTTTAGAACTTGCTTCAATTATTCAAGTTGTCGTCAGATGTACTCTCGCGCATTCTCAAAATGTCTCCAGCTTATTATCACACAAGTTAATAACAAAACTGCAAAAAAATATCGTGGTAGATGGCAGTGGGCGTTTGAATTCACAATAGTTTATCACAGAACCATTAGAGAGATGGTTAGCAGGAACTGCAAATTTTCATACAGACTGGATAATACTCCAGCACAACACCTAAGGGTGCTTTTCTATTCGTACCCCCGTGCAACAACATATCTACAAACTAGACGACAACCTAAAAACAATTAGTTGTTATGTATTATTGCCTATCATACTGCTACTATTAACAGTATTTAACTGCGATGGCTATTTAATTTGAAAATAGTGTACAAGGAGTTAATTTGTGAATATCATACTGAGAATTCCATACTGTATTAAAAATTATTGTCTGAAATAAAGTGATTAGTGATGTCTTTTTGTGTGTGATAACAAGGCACTGAAGTAAGAAAATAGTGGCTATAACGAGAATAATAGTTTTTTTTTTATTTTGAGGTTAGTGGGGATTAGATGTTTAAGGTAGCATTCATCACCGACTGACATCAGTTGGGGAACCACTAAAATGCTGGGAGCATTGGACAGCTGTTTCGTTTTAGTATGGGACTCCTTAGCAATATGCACCAATGACCTGATCAGGGATCGGACTCAGGGCCTTCAGGTTTCACGGCAAACGAGCTAACTATTCCTACTTCTGTCAGTTTGCGATATGATGCGACTATCACCTAACGTCTTCAGTTAGCATCCGCATCACCTCCAACTGGTTAAACCCACAAGCCACGGCGTCTCATTAGAACTTCGGGATATCCATCTCGAAGCATGGTGAGGAGTCTCATACTAAAACGAAACAGCTGTCCAATGCTCCCAGGATTTCAGTGGTTCCCCAGCTGATGTCAGTCCGTGATGAATGCTACCTTAAACATCTAATCCCTACTAACCTCAAAATAAAAAAACTATTATTCTTGTGATAGCCACTATTATATGATAAACTATTGTGAACTCAAAAACCCACTGCCATCTACCACGATATTTTTTTGCAGTTTTGTTATTAACTTGTGTGATGATAAGCTGGAGACATTTTGAGAATGCGCGAGAGTACATCTGACGACAACTTGAATAATTAAAGCAAGCTCTAAAGGAGTAATCTGTTGTAAACGTTTTGGTAGCTCAAATTTTAAGCAGGCCGCCACGTTTATTATAACAAATAGTTTATACAAAAGTAAAAGTATGTAAATTAGAGCAAGGTGTGAGGAGATCTGATTATGAAAGCAATAATACTATTTCCTGACATGTTTCAACGCATTTCATTTTGTTTACCATATATATATCACAATGAAATATTATGGTTTACTGAATAACACATTTCGGATACAATCAATTGTCCATAATCATATCAAGGTAACACGACAACTTTGAGAAATACTTTACATAGTTCTAGTTCTTTCCAATATTGTCGCAAAACCAGAGCCAGAACTATAACTGAATGAAGCATCCCTGAAAGTTGTGAAGTTACCTTGAGATGGTCATGGAAAATAGATTGCCTCTGAAACGTTCTTCGGTAAATAATAATGCTTCACTGTGTGATATATATGATGAAAAAAATATAATGAAATAACGTTCTTATGATTTTGAGGTGGTGGAGAATATTTCTAGCTAAGGTGGATGACTTTGGTTGTGTTGTCTTCTTTGAGCTGGGTGGTTTGTTCGTGAAGCTATCACATTGTCGTTCTAGACAACATCACCACAACTAACTTCAACATAAAGTTAGTGCTGATGGTGTTGTCTAGATAGACAATGAAAGTTTAACGAGTAAACCACCTAGCTCAGGGAATAACGTTTCACTAAAATGCCCAAGTTTTACTCCTAGTCAATCGGTTACTTTCCTAAAAGAAATCATGAAGTTGAATAACTCTGCACAGAGAAACAGACAGACAAGACCAATATAAGACCAGTCATTACTGCTTGACTTACGGCAGTTCATATCAGCATATCTGCAAGAAAGCAGCAAGATGGAAGATAAAGAAATAGAGAAGACAAAGAGGAAGCAGGAATGAGAAAATACTGAGTTTAGTATGAAGACTAAAATGAAGCTAATGTGCGGACGCATCTGTGTCATTGAGATCGACTCTATGCAATATCACCCAGAGTTTCCAACCATTAGTTTCTATTGTCACTTGGAAACCGATCCCAAAGTCTACATTTCCCTACATGGCTCAGACCAATAGTCAAAGGCTTCATGCAGTGATGCCATGTTTTAATCTGGCAGCGTCTAACCGTTTTACAGCTTGAACCTACTTCAGTCAACATTGTGCGACGAGGAAGACAATGACTAGGCATACGTAATATAAGTCGCAGCCACCTGAGTCAATGAAGGTTCACAACTGCATCAACTAACTTCCCTCTTCTCCCCTAAGCTCCACACCTGACTTCTGCGTTACTCACATGGTGACACCAAGAAACACGGCCTATGATAAGAAGGCAACGGTGATCGAACGCCTGAAGCCGTTTCATTTCCTCTACCTTTAATGATCATGTTTCACAACCGTATAGTAGAACATAGCAAACTGCAGCACAGTAAACTCGACCCTTAGAAAATAACAGGATATCACGGCGGCGCCAGAAGTGGCGTAACTTGGCGAAAGCCAGTTGAACCTTTTGTATTCGTGTGCAGATTTCGTTGGTCACTGATCCATCAGGGTTGAACCGACTTACCGGGTAAGTGAAGTGGTCAACGCACTCAAACACTTCACTCCCTGTTATTAAGTTAGTTAAGTAGAGTAACATTGAAGACCAGTCCTGGAGGAACAATTTGCATTTGGATGCTGAGAAACGCATGCTAAACATCATCAAATTGCCGTACATCTTGTCAGTGTATTCACCTAACAGGAATACGTCATCTGCGTACTCTGAATCTACTAAGGAGTCTTCTCTACTATGGTCAATCTTTTTGAAGTCAGACGACAGGAGGGGGACCTTTATAAGTACGTCTATGATAAAGTTGAGTAAGAATGGATATCCTTGACGGGCACCACTTTGCAAACACAACTCACCACTGCCTCTTACATGCCTACCTATAGGTGTTCAAATATAGCGCCTTCATCAGGGTGATACACCTACTCGTTTCAGTGAGACATCGCCATGAAACCTCTCGGTCAACGAAATTGAACACCGACTTCAGGTTGAGAAGTACACCAACCCTTCACAATTGGTGTTATTAGTTTGAATGTATGTCATTAGCAGCCAGACATATCAACTAGAGATCTCCGTAACAAATGTTAGAATAATGGGATAAATATACACGACAGCATTGATTTCTGCCTGCTACCAGTAGCACCGAGAGGATATCACAACAACTACTGCAAGATGAGTATAAATTGCAAAAACACGTACTGTCTTATGGCATAAGGCTGTAGAGCTTGGTAGTCGAAGAAATGCAACATAAGAACTTAAGCTAACCTCTTCATTAAGTATATTCAAAAAACAGTGTAAGTGTATAGTATAAGCAGTGAGGGTAAATCAGATAGTGAAATCTCTAACCACCATCCACTTACACAGTGTTGTGCGTACTCACATACACACACACACACCTAATTTCGGAATGATATTGTAGTGGGCGTTGCTGATAAGAATGGATATAAGTAGTATATGTTGAGAGGGTGGCAGAAATCATAAAGAATTACCAGCAATGGGTAAGGATTCTACCAAGAGAAACGCAAGGGACGAAGCAGGTTTATGAAGAGCAGATCAAGAGAGAAGCAGAAGAGAAAATGATGCACATTTTGCAAATGACGGTTTTAGTGAAAGGTGTACCATATTTAACGACTAATGTCCCACTGCTGACAACAGACATTTATTCCTTCGTATCCGTCTTCTTACTTCTTTCAATATGGGATGTAATGAGAGATGTCACGAAAAGTCAAACCAACGTAAAAAGAAAATGCATTAGGTTGTTAGCATTTAGGGTGATTTATGCAATGAGAGGTGTCACTTTGCTGACAATATGTATCCAATGCAAAAGAAATCGGTTATCAAAATCTGTGTAAAACGGATTAAAAAACAAGGTATTGACTTAAATGAAACCACCTCATATCTTTATTTACGCCAATGTCATATCAATACTCTATTTTGTATCCACTCATGGTTTTCTGTTTCATCTTATGACATGCCACACTAAAATGTAGCACCAGTCCACGAAGTGCCTTACTGTTGGTCTCAGTTTTTTTAGAGGATGTACATTTCCCGGTTACGGTTCCTGAGACGAAAAGAATCAGTGGTTGGTGACGTGGCTGAAAATCGGTCACAATGGCGCAGATGTATTCACTCCTTGATATCTTCTAAAGGTTGAATATGTGCATTCACGGTTAGGTTATCTTCAGATTGTTTATTCTCTCACACAACTTTATCTACTTTGATATCAGTCTTTTCTGTCTACTTGTTATTTGTATACTACTGTGAATTATGGCAACTTAAACCAGTGCACTTGTGTGCGAGGTCCCACGATGATTTTGTCAGTCAGTCATCTATTTCATTGAATTCGTCCCGTAGTACACAAACAAGTTGGGTCTTACCACACTGTCACAAATTCATTTATTAGTCATCTGGTTGTTTACATACAGTCCATCGATTCACAGTACATTAAAAAACATTCAAATGAGTACTTGTATAGTGTTTTATAAAAGTGAGGAACGCTAAAGTGTCTCACACATAATTTTAGTATGACAACACCTACAATTTTAGTCAAAGATATACTGAATGTTGATGAATCGAATAGAAATCGAAACGCAATCAGCAATTACATGTACGTTCGTGCAGCAGAGAATGAGTCTCACCTATTTTATGAAGGCTAGTGATACTACCTGGCTGCTTAAACCTCGATAGGTGGAGGGGTGTTCGATGCCGTGACCCATTAGTTTAAAGTTATTTTTCTAAACTAATGAGACACAGCTCCACATTGTTGGTGAAAAAATCGTAACACAATGCAGACATAATTTTTTTTTTAAAAAAATGTTACAACCAACCTGATAAGGAAATTAGCATCCAAATCGTCACCAGAGAAAAAATCATCAACCTGCTTACGACTGATCTGCATAATAGACTGTTCAGGATTGAGTGCTTCAGATGTGATGCTACGAACGTAAGCATACAAAAACTCTGTTAGATTAATGATAAACCACCTAGCTGTCAAAAATACTAGTTTGTGTGATCTGATGTTGTTGCTTGTATGGTATTGCTTGTACATCCAGTTGGCGAGTCCCAAATAGGACGAAACGTGCGTCCTGGATTGCACTGCTTAGCTACTATGCATCATAAATGTGTAGTGTAATGCTTTGAACTCGGAAGCAGTTTATGAAAACAAGTTTCCTGACACCAACAAAGAAAGCTTACTAAAACAATGAAAGATGCATAAATCAGCCTCGCAATTGTAAATAAACAGTTAGAAAAGCCTAGCGATAAAATCCTTTCTGTTAATTCATTCACAAGTTTGAATACCAAAAACAATGAACTATTTGTTTTGATAAGTCAAAAATACCTATAGTGTAGTGCAAGCATGAACGTACGTTACCCTTGCATGTTTTCCAAGCTTGCAGAATATTCATTAAAAAAGATAAGGCAATAAACTTATTAATGTTTACGGAATGTAAATTCAAGATTCTATCATCAATCACCTTTTTTACCACTTGGTGTAGGTGATATACTTAAGTGATTCTTGAAATTTCGTCACCAAATCAAAATAAACACTTATGGATAAACGAACTCCCCAGTGTTACTCCAATGAATCCCAGTACTAGGTGGTTGGCCACTTAGGGTACACGTCTGCATGGAATTCTGAATGTTTTAAGCATATAACACATAATTTCTTAATTGTTTATGGAATAAATGACATCCCTATTCTAGTTTGACAGTCTAGGAATACTGACTTTCTTTGACTGCATTCCTTTAAAAGACATTTCGTGGTTTAATGAGTACATCACGACAGTAATGGCATCAAAGCACTTAATGCTTAATGTGTCTGCTAGAGTAAGACAAGAACTATGAATTCTTTAATTCAACGGTAAAATTACCCTTTGAGAACCATACACACAAATACATACAAGATTCCCTGTCGCCAAGATACTAAATCTGTCTGGGTGATATGTCCAATTAATCGTCTGGATTGTCGCCAAAGACTGGTTATTATTTCCAGACTAAAAGCAATCGAGAATATATACTTCTAGTGTATTTAACTAAATATGAGCTACTCTATATCACCAAAATGTTGGTGAAAATTGAAAAAAAACGAGTAAATTATGATCTCGTGTTCTAACACTTCATGTCGCCGATAAGCAATAATGATTCACAGTCGGATTATGAATTTACATCCCCACAGGCATTAACAATTGTACTACTTCAACTATCTACCAAATGATGTGCAGACAAGAGAAAAAAGCACAGATTGGTGTTAACATACTTCAATATCAATATGCCTAACTGAAAACAATTCATTATAAGTGTTACATAAAGTGAAAATATTTACCATTACTTCTTTAAATCTTCATAAGATCTAAATAAGACTGTATGGTATTTATCACAATTATATGAAACTAAAATCTGAAAGGAAAATCTAAAGAAGTGACTGAATTGATTACTTTTCATTAAGAAAGTCGATTCTTTGAAATAATCCTTTAGAGCTGAATATAAACTTCAATGTTGGAAGGTTATGACACACTTGATCTGAGACATAATTCTTTGAGTAGTTGAAAACAAAATAATTTATTACAGTGGCATACAAAATGCAATTGATGTACAGTGTCTGTGACATAAGCCTAAGCTAATTATTGCGCCCCAGAATTTCTACCTTCTCGCCATCATGTAAACAGTTGTTAATTGAAGTAATGAGTAGTCGAAAGTACAGGGAACACAGAGATGAGAAACACAAAGTCTATATAACTGAAATACTTTTCGCCACTTACCGGGAAAGTAGGTTTCCTACACAATTAACAAGTTCTATATTGGCCAATTTCTCGCCATTTCTCGACTGTACGAACAATCAGATGAAAGTAATGGCGAACGTAATAAAACATATCGAAGAACATCTGCATCAGCAGGTGTCAGATTTCTTGCTTCTTCTGATAATAATTCAGATTGTTCAAGAATTGGATCAATATGATTCCCCTTACTTTTAGACATCTACATTCAACAAAGAGGAAATGAACTAACAAATAATACAACTGAAAAACCGCATATACGTAGGTATGCTAAGCTTCGAACATTACCCAATATGTCTATGATTAAAGACGCTACTAACCTTGCCTAGCTCACTAGTTACTAGCCGGTCCTAAGCCCGGATAAAGAAAGAAGGTTGGGTATAGGGTTAGCAACCCTACCCCAGAAAACCAATCCAATCACTAAAAAAACTTCAAAGCACATAGAAAACATAAAAAAATAAAAATAAACTTATTTCTCGATGGAATCGGAGAGATATAACGACGCCGATTGGTGAAAGCCTTCGAGGAGCCAGTCAGCCGATGTGTCTTCTCTCGATGAAGGCGAAAGTAAACATGGGGACGTGGAATTTCCGGACGATGTTTGAACCTAGCAAAACTGCCCAGATTCCAAAAGAGATGAGAAGGCATAGCATAGAAGTGTTAGGAATCTGCAGATCCAATGGAAGTGGACTCTCCAAACTGTCAACTGCAGAGTCAATCATCTAATCTACTCCGATATTGTCACCCAGACGACAATCACGAGCACACTGAGTTTCCGAGTGCCTATCATGATGCCCCCAACAACATCGAAGGCTCTCAGGCAATGGGATCCAATCTCATCCTCCACGACCATCACAGCAAGATTCAAATCGAAAAGAAGGAGTCACAATCATACAATGCTACGCTACGCACATACAAATAATTAAGCAGATGAAGAGAAGAACAAGAAGAAGAATTCTATAGACAACTGCAATCAGTACTGAACAAGACTCCAGTCGGCGACGGCGATATCAAAATTCTAATGAGTGGGGTGACATGTTTTAATGCCAAAGTGGGAGCGGATAACACAGGAAGAGAACTCATCATGGGTCGAGAGGCACTCGGTGAAATGATGAACGAGAATGGAGATCTGCTCAAAGACTTCTGCGCATTCAACGATTTGGTGATTGGAATCAGGCAGTGTGCACAAACAAACACAAGGATATTCACAAGGCAGCAACATGCAGTTGATTTCACCAGACACCAGGACACACTACACTAAAAATCAGATCGACTTCATCTCAATGTGAAGAAAGTGGAGACGCAGTCAGTCTGTTGGACACAAGATCAGATGAAGAAGGGGAGCGGATGTAGTTTCACACCACCAGACTATCTAGTGCAAGGAACTTACCTTCAAAATCAAGTGGAAAGCTTTCACGGAAGTTGATGATAGACAACACTTCAAGTTTAACATCCAGAACAGAAACTGTACTGAAAGACGAAACTACAAACGACATCTTCACGTCAGTCAGCCGTCAGGAAAAAATGGGAGACATTATGCAACATCCTTGAAGAAACCTGCATGGAAGAATACTGGAACTCTTTAGAAGAGATGTGAAGGGAAACCCCTGTAACTGTGTTAGGAAGGAAGAAAAGAAAAGACAAGGAATGGATACATGGAAGATGATAGAGGAGGAAGAGGAAGATGGTGAAGCAGAAGATGAACCAGTGCAGTGCAAGGATGAACAACGAAAAGAGGAACTGAACACAACCTATAAAACACTACACTGGATAAAGAAGTGAAGAGGAGTGCACGGAAAGACAAAAGATAATTCTACGACACACTTGCAAATCAAGCAGAACAGGATGCAGGTAGGAGAGACAGAGACTTGACAACACTATATCAAATAACCAGGTTACTATCTGGGAAGAGATCAATGCAGATGAAACCAATGAAAGATAGTGAAGGGACCTAGTTACCAAAGAGAAGAAACAAAGGAAGTGGGCTGACCACCTCAAAAAACTCTTGAATTGACCACCAACCAACAGCCCAGCCACTGAACTATTAGTGAACACAAACCCTCCGACAAAAGCTCAAGTGAAGCCACCTTGTCAATCTCCCAAAAAAGGGAGACCTAAGTCTCGGCAAGAATAAGAACTGGTGCGGAATCATCCTCCACACCTGTCCACAAGAAGGAAAATATTATGTAGCATCATACTGAGACTGAAAAATGCTCTGAATTCAAGATTACGACCGTAACCGGCTGGCTGGCTTCAAGAAGAATAAATCATGTGCGGATCAAATTGCAACGCTACGCATCATCATAGAACATAGTACAGAGTGGCAGTCAACTCAATTCTACCTCAACTTCATCGATTTTGAAAAGGCTTTCGATAGCATGGACCGAGATGTAATTTGGCAGTTACTTCGACACTACGGAGTGCCACAAATTTTTATCAACCTCATTCAACAGGTATACGAAAACACCACATGCCAAGTGATTCACAGTGGAAAGCTCAGTGATGCCTTTGAAGTGAAGACAGGAGTAAGACAAGATTGCCTACTATCACCAATCATCTTCCTGATTGTGGTGGACTGGATCATGCAACAAACTGTGAGGAGTATGAAGAGACCGATGAAAAGACCCTAGAAGATTTGGATTTCGCCGCCGACGATGATTTATGTCTCATTTCTTGTAGCACAAACTCGAAGATCTACAGGCAAAAACTAACACGCTGACAGAAGAGGCGAGGCAGCGAAAATGAGATTTCAAGTGAACGTAGAGAAGACGGAGGTGATGAAGATACCCAACCAGCAACAACAAGTACCAATCACCATCAACGGGAGAAATCTAAAGGAAGTTGTCTCTTTTACCTACCTACCTAGGCAGTACTGTTTCAACCACAGGTGGCACAGATGAGGATGTCAAAACCAGGATCGGAAAAGCAAGACAGCCCTTCATTAATCTGAAACCAGTGTGGATATCTACTGCAATGCACTCAGCACAAAGAACAAGATATGGACTTTCAACACTAAGTCAGTCAAGTCGGTGCATCTACGTGATGGTTGAGAGACTCGGCGCGTCACGAAGAGCATTTCCAACAAACTACAGACATTCATCAACAGCTGCCTACGCTCGGTACAGAAGATGGAGATCAGATGGCCAGAATAATAAGAACAAGCAACAAGCAACTCTGGCTGGCTGGCTGGCTGGCTGGCTGGCTGTCAACGAACCAACCAAGCACCCATGGACCAACAAATATGCAGAAGAAAGTGGAAATGGATTGGGCATACACTGAGAAGACCATTCGGAGACATCACGCGCCAGGCCAGGCACTCGAGTGGAATCTAAATGGGAAACGATGAGTTGGACGTCCGAGGTGAGGGTGACATGGAGGAGATCGTGTGAAGAAGAAATGAAAGCTTGTGGGCAGTCGTTGAAAAGACCGCAGAGAACAGAGTGAAATGGCGACATGCTACTGAAGCCCTATGTTCCACTAGGAACCCATGGGACAAATGATAATAACTAATAACAAAAATAATGACGGCACTTGATTGCCTAAACAATGTTCGAACCAGTAACAAACTAAATAACTGAATGTCTAGACCAAGCCAGTATGATCGCTTTGTATCCTACCCTTTGTTAGGGTGCTATTACATGCTCAACTTATTTTATAATGACAAAATCTGTTTGATTTGTACAGAAGAAATAAGTTACAGATGATGGAAACAGGGTAAGACAGTAAATAAAACACATGAGAAAAATGGTGGAAATTTGGAAGGGTGTAGTGTTACTTGACCGCTATGATTAATCTCTAACATTTCATTTGCCCAGCAACCAATCCCCAATCAGAAAGCTGAGCTTGTTCTTCACTGTTTAGAACCACAATCACAAACTGTGAAAATAGCTATCATGTGTTGACCCACCGACAGTGAGGAATCCTCGGAATCTTAATAGTTGCTCATGTTCATATGATCTCAAATAAGTCATAAATTTGAACAGATAACACTAAAAACCAGTTGCGACATTAGTAGGGGTGTGGCTTCCTGATCTAGACACTCCACTATCGAGTAGTGGTTTCGAACTCCACCCACCTACCGAAGTCTAGATAGGAAGTGGTTCCAACAGCCCCTATATTATAGGTGGAGTTCATTACCTACTTCAAGAACATGCGCATGGTTGTTGAGAGTATTTCGATATCGTTTCGAGTTGTGATATTTCATACACTGACTGTTAAATGCCAACCTATTGGCTCAGTCATAAAGTGCTTACCAAAAGGTTGAATCCCAACCATAAAAATCCAGGATCTGAAGTATTTCAGTTTCACCCTGAGGTTTTCGATTTGGTATCAGCTCCCGAAAAATATTTTCAAAAAGAATACCAATCCAGCTGCTGTCAGCAGATGCATAGGATACAGAAATGACCATCCAGTAAAACATGTGGCTAGTAGGTAACAGTAGATGTAAACAAAAAACGTCTTTTAGTCTGCACTCAATAGGCTAGCACCAATCTTCTTAGCAAACCTGCTTATTTGTTTGTTTTTTGCTACTGAATAAACAATAACTTCGTCCCCAACTTAGTCTTGTCAAAGCAGTTCGTCTTCAAACTGCTTGACAAAAATGTTTCGCAATGTTCATTATTTTGGCATTTGTATTTCCCAATGAATGTAAAGCAAAATCGTTTTGTTTTAACTGACATTTCCCTACTTAATGCTAATAGCCTTATCAAAGTTATACCAAACCGGAATTTACAATATCCAAGCTTATATATGATAGCTTGTCAAGTGTTCTTCCACATGAATAATACTGCATTGTCAAATTGTTGGATAAAGACGACGTCCATATGTAGCGTATTGTGTGATGAATGTATGAATTACAGATTGAGATTGGTATGTACACATGTGCTGATACTTCTCATCGCATGTATATCGGTTATGTCAGTATGTGGGAGTGAGTTGGGACCAGGTCAAATTACGTTTTATCCCCTGATCCCTATTCAGACAATTTTGATTCCACTTAATGTGAAGAGATTCTGCTACGACACGTTCGTTATAATTTCTAAAACATTTTTGAACGGTTTTAATGTTGTCGAAATTGGCCTTGCGACCTGGAATTATGACGTGTAGAGAACTATGGCTGAAGTGTCTCGAACCTTTTTCAGCTCTACTGGATTTCTAGGGTGGTCAAGTGGAAGTTCTTCGGTATTCATTATTCTGTAATTTTAATTTCACGAGAAGTTTGTCTTATGCGTATTGCATCGTGGTCTGAGAATTTTATTTTATAAACACAATTAGATTGTGAACCTAGAGAGATCTCGTCTTTCAAATGGGCTAAGGTGCTCTGTAATGTATTTGATCTTTTGTAGAATACTCTGATATTGCATTTGTTAAGCACTTCTAAATTCACCTGAGGTGTATGAGATGACTACTGCTAAGGTCCTTGATTTAGAAGTTTTACGATCTAATTTAACACTATTTTCCATTGTGTGAATGGATTTAATTTTAATTATCTTGTTTACAATTTAATTCTTTAACTCTTTCATTTTCATCTGTATGCTCTCCTTAAAAGACTTGAAGCAACTTATCCTTCCCACTGACTGAATGTAATGAATTGAAAACTAAATATTTGTTCGAATGCGTTGCTTTCCTGAAAATGGTCATACCTAAATGTTCATTTTCTTTCCACCCAACAAGATAGTCAAGGAAAGGCAGTCCACATTACCCGTTTCTTTTTCTCAGCTGAATTTGATATTGGGTGATCTAGATTTCAGCTGGTCTAAGAATACCTGATAAAGTCACTTTTTAAAACTGAGAATGTGTCTTCAACATACCTCAGTCAAATTTCCCGCTTTATTAAATGAGTGAAAACACTCTTCAAATTTACTCATCAGTAGCTTAGCTACTATGGGTGGAACGGGTGAACCCATATCTACACCGTTAGTTTGTCTGTATAACTTCCGTTTAAATGCGAAGTAATTAGTCTCTAAGCAAAATTTTAAGGCCACTGGTATTCAGTCAACATCTTTCTGTCAAGGTTGTGTCTGAGTCTAATTAATTAGAAGTGATATCTAGGCCATCATTAATTGGAATGTAGTATATGAAGAACTGATGTTAAAGCTTATCATAATTCCATCTTCCTCAATTTTAAGTTAAATTTTCGACTTAAAGTCAAATGAATCCTTTATTGTATATTTCAAGTGCTTCTGTAGAGGTTTTAGCAACGCAGTGAGACATTTCGAGGGTTTGTATGTTGGTATGTTGATGAAATCCACAATTGATCTCAATGGAACGGAAGGTTTGTGAATCTTGGCAGATCATAGAATCTCGAAAATACTTAAGAATCAGTTTTGAGTTCGAATCAAGTTGAGCTACCTATTTTAGGTTTCAGTTCTTCAAGTAATCTATTAGTGTTGAGTTTCATTTTATTCAGTTAGGCGGATCTTTACTTCTCATCAATTAAAGAGTATGGTTTCTCGGACAACTGTTCAAATGCCTTCTTTTTATAATCTCTTGTTCATAATGACTGTTACATTCTCTTCATCTGATTTGGGAATGTCTCTTATTCCTGTTCTTCTTAGTACCATTACATTCCACGTGTTTTTCTTGTTTTTCTTTCAGTGAGTCTTCCGCTTAGATTTCCACACTTTGGAATTTATTCATTGACTAGAATTCTGTCAGCTGAAGTTTCCAACCGTCTACTTTGAATAACCTATAAGCTTCAACTAAGACTTCATTAAGTCCTCTCACAGTTAGTGATTTCGTTTACTGATGTTTATCTTATGTTCAATCATTCTACACGTTTTCCCACCCTGTAAGTAGTCCACTCAACATCACTTGTTAAGACGTGTTATGGCTGAGACTAATCTCTATATCATCTTTACATTATCGGCTCCATGATCTTATCACACATGTGCCATATTTTCAATACACCGATAATCAAGTAGAAAACTCTGTATGTTAACTATGGTCAGACCTATTAGGAAAACCTTGATTAATATCAAAATAATAATATGAATTTATTCTTAAAAATTAAATGCAAGTTTATTTCTTAATTAAAAAGGATTACCTTTATATTATCCACAAGTACATGATGATGGCAGATTAGGCGTTTTGGCAGTGGTAAATTAACAGCCATTAATAAAGCAGGCCAGAGAACCGCGTGAAATCTAAGAAGAAGTAGATAAAAGTCGGTTTGTATAATAGCTTACAACTCTCGAGTCAATCCCTTCCTGAAACTTCAATTAAATTCAAACTAACTTTCCCCTTGATATTCCGCTATTTTGTCAATTGCCTTTCAAACCGAATTATACATGGAGTAAAATGTATATGACTGTGACAGTTGTAAATTAAAGTGTTCCGTCCCACGGTTGTACTTGAAAACACACTCCACTAGCTACTTTGGTTTGCTTATTGTGGAGGTAGGGCTAATCCACCTAAACTATCGACTTTCAAATAATGAGTTCTGAGTCAGTCCATAGTTAATTCCAACCTAAAATCAATAAATAAACCTCCACAAACCTCCAGATAGAATTAATCTAGCGCTTATTGATAACTAGCTTCCAGAGGTGATTCCCGAAGTTCCAATAAGAGGTCGTGACCAGTGAAGTCAACCAAGTCGAACATGAGGACAGTTACTCACCGATGACATTGGATGTAGGTCGCGGTATACTGTGAACTGATAGAAGTGAGAAATGTGGACCATTGGATCCCGACCCAGTGGCTTAATGGTGACGTGCTGACCACGGACCTGAAGGTCCTGGGTTCGATCCCCTGGCGGGGTCATGAATACGCGTTGCCGAGGTGTCCCATACTAGGACGAAACAGCTGTCTAGTGCTCCCAGGTTTCCAATGTTCCTCAAACTGACGTCAGTCCATGATGAATTCCAAGCTTAAATCACTGAGTTCTGAGTTCAAACTCCTACCCACCTGGGTAGCATCATAAGCCCCCACGTAATTAATGTGTTTCAGAGCCAGGTATGTAAACACTTGCACCGCATTGAGTTGCTGATTCGCACAACCCTCAAAAAATCTATTTAACTTTAACATTCAAGTAGTCAGTAAATGAACAAACTAGAATTTTACTAAGAAATACCATTACCTAGTAATGATGGATAGTGGTTAGAAGTGGAATCCAGGATGCGCATTGATGACGGTATAATACAAGCAATAACATCTAAAAATTTGACTCGAAAGTACCGTCAAATTAAACTATTTTATTCACATATTTTGCACAACTTGGAATTCTGTAAGAATTCCAAATCTCAACCTATAAACACTGAGTGGCTAATCCGCATAGTGATCCTAACCAAAACATAAATATAGACGGGAATTCTCAACTTAATCACTATCAGTTTGGACAGATAATAAATACGTTAAGTTCCTTCCTGCTGTTATTTCCACTTGCTACTCGCTGGGTTAGAGACCGAATAAAATGCCTAGGCATTGTCTTGATTTAAAACTGCAATACTTTCTAATTAAGCATCAGTAAGTCCCAATAAGCTTTAAAGCCACACAGATTGTACAGCTGTTAGCTCAGCTAAAAAATCTTCTAGACAGTCTCAGCAAATTCCTCAGGTTTATTAACAATACGATATCTTTCCAAAGTAAGATATGAATCAGTGAACGGATTGACTGAAAAAGAACCTAGTCTTGTTCAACATTTATTTATTACTTGTGTTAAGTATACGTATGGGTGAAATCTCTGTACTGGTTGTGCAACCCAGAAATCAAATTCAAACTCATGCTCTAAGCTATTAGTTACATACGTTGAATGTGAAAGTGATCCTAGTTGGTTGTTCAGACCTCGGTAGATGAGGTTGAATGTCGACTGCATAAGTGAACAAATGGTAGCCCTATATGCAGTCTGTAACACACCTAGAAATTCAAAACTAGCTGGTAACTTACAACTTCACGGTCAACATAGTTTATAAGCTTGTAAAGCAGTAAGAAATCCTTACTGCTCATAACATTTATTATGTTTGTAGCGGATCAGTAACTTCAAAACTGTACTAGACAATAAATAAGAACTAAAATTAAAGTTTTATTACTTCTCTTGAGAAAAATAAAATACATGTTGAACTATTGATACTGACCTTAGTATATCTTTTCCTAAAAACTGTACATCTGGTGGCCATAGGTTTTGTTTAGAGCCACTACAACTACTATCATCTGACCATGGAAAACCTGTAACCGTCAAATAGTTGATCAGTGCATCTAACCAGACATAAATCTACCAAAGAATGAAAATAAAAACATGCAAAAAGAAACTTTAAATCGCCTATTGCTGTCATGTATGATGTGCAGCATTTAAAAGTCAATGAAAGTTCACTGACAATAAGTGTGAAACTGTATTCTTCCTCTTAGATATTGGAATATGTACGATAAATCCTAACCAGGATAATGAAAAATTCTTCCCTTGGTACTAGTTTCAAATAAAAGTTTCCGATTTTTTTTTAACAACAAGATAGATTATGCTACTGATATACTTGAAACCGCTGACAACTTGTATAAGTAGTTGAAGTCATTCATTTGTCAAATTTATCATTTTCTGTGACATTAGATGAAGCATCACAAATGTAATGACTGAAAAGAAACCAACCATAAAAGACTATGGAAGAGGAAAAAAGACTGGTAGGTTGGAATAAACAACTGTCTAGTTTGGAAGAGATTTTTCAAATGAAGCATAACCGATAAACCCAATAATGTAAGATATGACTCCATACAGGTTTGTGTAGATAAGTAATGAGTTGAACGTAATGTTTGAGGCCTTATAGCATTGACCCGATTGCCCAGACCGAAGTAGGAGAAATGAGTTCGCATACATAACTCTTCAGAGTGTAGTCAAAAGCTTACAACATGGAATTCTCTCCACTACATAAGCACATATGTATATTCGTGCTAGGTGGTTGGAAGTTATCATCATAGAGCACTTCCACCTAACACCAATGATAGTTAACCACGACGAGGAGAGTCTTTTAGACTGGTGATCACAGTGACGCTAGGGGAAGTTGGATTAGGTTGGAAGAGAGTTCACACTCGTCACACCAAAATCTAGCACCAGTCCACGAAGTGCCTTACTGTTGGTCTCAGTTTTTTTAGAGGATGTACATTTCCCGGTTACGGTCCCTGAGACGAAAAGAATCAGTGGTTGGTGATATGGCTGAAAATCGGTCACAATGGCGCAGATGTATTCACTCCTTGATATCTTCTAAAGGTTGAATATGTGCATTCACGGTTAGGTTATCTTCAGATTGTTTATTCTCTCACACAACTTTATCTACTTTGATATCAGTCTTTTCCATCTACTTGTTATTTGTATACTACTGTGAAGTATGGCAACTTGAACCAGTGCACTTGTGTGCAGGGTTCTGCGTTGATTTTGTCTGTTTGTCTATCTTGAAGGATTTATTCATCGCCTACGACTAGCAAGTAGGACTTCAGTTACTCACCAGTGACCAACTAATGCATACATTTAGATGTATAGTAACAGAAATGTCAATGAGGTCAGAATAAAGAAAAATACAGGAGTATGGTGAGTGGTTCAACCCTGAGAAGAAAGTATGCAACTGACGATATGCTTCTATCACTATGATTAATATCATTGTATAGAGAAGCTTAATTCCATCATTACATTTATTCCCCCTTTCTAAAAAAGTCATTTTTACTTCTTTGATAAATCTCTGCAACTGGACTGCTTTTTAAATGCAATGTCAAGATAATGAACAGAGATTGAAGATTTTGTTGCCATATGCCGATTCACTGGACCGAGTTGATTTATCTCTGTGTATCTATTATCACCCGCGACTTCTTTATGATATTTTGGTAGAATGCAATGTCTGATTCACTGACGTGAAGACTTGTAATTCACATCCACATCCCAGGATACCGATGCACTCATCTATTTAAATAACAGAACGTTAGTTGTTAGACAACTGAAGTACAAGGAGGTATCGAGGAACCCGCACCGAAACTCCATATGATCAGCATTTAGACATCAAAACGGAGGAAATAATTAACCACAACAGCAATCAATAATAATGGCTGCAAAGAAATTATCATAAAGTAGTAGTTTACTAAATGCAATTCGAAGTAATATATGTTTCGATTTGATTGTCTACAAGCAAATTAGTAACCCTGTGGAACACAATCGCATGTAGCCGAATAGTTCTACATAAGCGGAAATACATCCTTTATATTCTGTTGTTACCCCACCGTTAAAGTAATATCAAAAATTATAACACCTTGCAGAAGCATCTGATAAAAAGAGAGCTTACTATTTGTTCATCATCACCAGGAACTTGTATACCCCAGTCCAAACGACTTCTTGGTCTTGAAACAGATACATCTTGAGCAGTATCTACAATGCTGTGTGCTATTTCACCCCAAACTGATTGAGTAGATGATTTGGGAAATACTATTCCAAAATAAAGATTTAAAAAAACAAATGAGTGATAAAACTGAGGAGCTATAGAACACTTCGTGCATAAACATAGAAACTTGAGACATTATGTTTCCCCACAAAGACTACTGTATCACCCAGAATGGAACTACCCAGTATATTACATCTGAATAACGGGCTACGTAAAATAACGTTTGATGAAAACAATGTTGGCAGAGCGATACTTACATCAAGTACCAATTCAGCTAAACATAATGAGTGAGGAATTATAGTGATAACTATTTATTATTATGATTATTACTGCTCTTATCATTTCGAAACAAACGGATAGTGATACTTCCTAGGCACCTAAAATTTGGTAAATGAGGCAATTTCTGAACCGGTAATTCGTTGGTTATGGACTGAGTATCTACATCAACGACCCATGGCTCACAATGGGACTATATAGTCTCTTGAATGCTGTAATTTACAGCCTAGTATGAGAGTGTATCATTTTAAGTTGCAATACACTTCAAAACCATAACAGAACGACAAAACAAACCAGAGAAAACTACCGGAAAGAAGTAAAAGAACTAAGGATCATTTGTATTCCTTGAAGAGAAATGTGATAGGAAGGTGCTTAAATGGAAATCAACATTTTAAGTCACCAGCCACTAAGACAGAAGTTTTGGATTACAACCTTTGTTTTGTGTTACTGTGTGGTCAGGCAAAACCTTATTGGACAATTTCGTTTACAGCTGACCAATCAAAATAAATACCTAACTTTTGACCTACTGGCTTTATATGTCCATGAAAACTATACATAAATGATGTATTCTTTTTTCTGACAGTCACGGGTCGGTCTCAATCTTCTGGTTTTCGGGACTTAGTGAAGTATGAGGTTCTGAGAAAGAACGGTCGCTACTCGTATCCAGTTCAAGTGTCTCATCAAGTTAGTATCGACTGTGTATTTATTATTATCCACTCAGTAACCTCAAAAAGAAATTTTCGAAATCATCAATGGCAGTAAGTGATCTATTACAATTAGGATCGCAAACTAAAATCTTGAAGTTAACTGTTACATCGCTTACTCAATGTCTATAGCATAAGTGAACGATCGCATCAGGGAAAAAGGTTGACAAAAAGTATCTGTATAAGGTAGTGAAAACACTAACATCTTGCATTTTAAAAAACAAGTAATTCACCTTGATACAAAATTTTATCTTTCAACAGAAAAGCTTGTTAATAATAAGCACACCACATAAAAGTAAATCAGTCAGGCATGTAAACTAGTTAACAATCTCAGTTATCCCGATACTTAACACTACCAGCTATACAGTATGAACACTTCAAACACGATATGGTATAACTGAGCAAGAAATTATTACTTCATCTTCTAAAACTTAGCTCTGTTTAAGAAAATAGGTTATTTTGAATTTCTTTGCAAGAAATTCGGAACCAAAGTGAACAAGCGACTTCTCAACAATAAACCGGACGTTCGGGTTACGCGTAAAATCCAAAACACAGGATTTGTCTGAAATACGGTTCTATATTAATAAGCAATATTGAGTAGTAAAATACAAACCTCGAATCGTGAGGTATCTGTGGGGTTCATCGCTTCAAAGCACTTGCAAAGAATGCGTCAACAGTAAAAACAGCAGAGTTGTGTCCAAGCGACCAGAAGGGAATATACAAGACGCGCGTTAGTTCTAACGATGAGGTAAAGACGTAAGCTAAACAAATGTTCAAGGTAAAACAGAACATCAGGGAACAAAGAAGGGAATTACAAGACCATCATGAACTATGAAAGATACTGGTATCTATGGTTGTTAAATGGCGGACACGATACAATGGAACAGAATGAACAGTCAAGAATGCGGATGAAGCAATATTACAAGCAAACATACTACTCAAGAATACTAAGTAGTATAAAACTGAAGATAAAAAAGGGGAACATCCCATAGGGTAAACGAGAACAAGAAAGGAATTAACAGTTATAATAAGGAATCATGAAAGAATAAAAAATTAAGACACTCTGAAGCGCTCAAACAGAAACAAGACCACAATTTCTTACAATTCATACTCTATGCATGAATGATATATACAAAAACTGTGCATCAAGCACACTCACCTCCTGAATCTAGCCATGTGTGTAATTCATTTTTAAACGATGAAAGCTTAAACATATAATTCTCCTCTTCAATCCACTCCAACGGATTACCAGTTTCTTTGGCTACAGGTGTTCCACTTAAAGAAGCAGAAGTTTCATCAACCTCCCATGGCATATAGAACGCTTCATCTGAAATACAATACCAACCAGAATATTTGCTTCGATAAAGGAAACCGCTTTCTTCTAAACGTTTCTGAAATAGGGGTATATTTTTAAAAGAAAACATTGCACATCAAAAACTTATTTGTCTAATTGATATCAACAATCATAGAAATAAATGTCAAAATATATAATTAAACAGAAATAACTCACCCAAAACTCATGAACAGCTTTCATGTGGCGGTTTTCCGTAGTTCGTATAAAATCATTACACTTTACATGAGTAGCATGACAAAGGCTCTGAAAGAGAAGTCAGAAAGCTTCACTTGTTTATTATCCGGTTGAGCATAGAATCTAATAAAGACTAATTCATGCTGGTAAATGAAATACAAATTTAGATGAATGATATCAATCGTAATCCCTTAAAAAATAATCTAGTGGACTATGAAAAACATATTAGTATAACCTGGAAAAATTGAGAGCGACTTTAAGGGCCACCCTAGAAACGATTGAAATAGACAATTAGGTTTCTTCATTTCGATTGGAAAAGCAGATTTTAATAAAATAGAGCAGTTTGACTGGTTATTTCAGTTGTTGCTAGAGTGACCTTTCAAGTCGCCCGAGAAATGACTAGTCTGGAGAGGGACCAATCAAAATGTACTCTGTTATCACTTCTATACTTAGACAGACAGACGGTGGATCAGCCAATCAATAGGATTAATTTAAAGAGCGAACCATCTACATATTAGCTGTATTTTCCTGTTTTCGCCTTCGGTCTTTCGACCGCAATACACATTTCTACATGTCCATCGTCTCTTCTCTATTAATTCAGTCGGGTCAGGCAGGAATCAACTAAGAATTTGTCGAACGCTGGTGGCCGACATTCGATATCCGTGCATCGTTAGCGGCCATAGTACATAGCAGTTTTAAACCACAACACCACAAAAGCTACCTTATTGATTGACGTAAAAGTTGAGGTAGTTAAAACATTTCCAGTTAGTAAAATTGTAACATGACTCTGGTATGTGTGATGTCTATACACCACCTAAATAAAAACATGCAATTTTGAATGCATTAGGAGTAGAGTGGAAGAAGTTGAAGAATAGCCAGATTATAGTTAGTATTGCGTTTAGTTCACGAAATTACTGACCGCCTTTCCCTCAAAAAAGTGCATAAATACATATACCTAAACAAATTCGGTCACTTTCTGATGTCTTAGAGAGCACTTAATTCTATCCGATAACTGAAAATATCAGAATCACACAAGTGGACAATAATTTTTACTGTTGAATCTTCATCATAGTATGTAGAGACAGGATACTACCCAGATCATCAAATCTTAAACATATGGTTGTAATCGGAAAACATTCTTCAAAACTTTTGATTCAGTATTTAAATTCAGATATCAGTATTGCTATGTAATGATAATTAGTGACCAAGGAAAATTTATAATTTATTCATTCCTTCAAGATCTTGAAGCTTATACATGTCTTTCAGACACTTTGGGTGAACCATCCATATCCACCAATCCAACTTTACTGACAAAAACTCAATTTTACCGTTTTACATTCATGGGAAACATTTCTCATGTGAAGGTAATCATGAGAACTCCCCTGCCCTGTTGGCTGAAGCAGGTTCAAGGTGAAAAACGTTTAGAGGCGGCCATATTAAAAGGTGACATCAGTTCATAAAGTAGAACTGGGTAGTGTGGGGAAGTGTAGGCTCCATGGTTGGGGTCTGTACGAAAACAGAAAACCACAGTTGTAAATTCTAGGTGATATGGCTTAAAATCGATCTCAATGAACCAGATGTATCTACACATTATCCTTACCTCAACTGTTATGCCGAATTCAGCATTTTCTCTTTCTTCCTTCCTCTCTACTTACTACTTACTACCAATTTTGACTGCTTTGTTCTCAATTTATTTTTCATCTTGTTGCTTTCTTGTTTGATGTGCTGATATGAAGTATGACAACTTGGACCATTATGCAGTAATATCTGGTTTTGTTCTGATGTCGATGATGATATTCGCTATACATTTCATTTACTTAAAACATTAAATGTATATATTATACTTGTACTAGGCAATACCTCAAACGGTAGATCTAACGTTTTGAAAACATAAACAGTAGCCAACGAAAAAAACAAAACCGTCACCAAAAATTCCATTCCAGGATATCACCTTTGCTTTTTACTTACGAATCTTTTTGAAATAGATTACACAGGATTAACTAAATAACTGACTCGATAAATAAATAAATTTGTTACCGTACTAGTGGAGCTGCGGTTCAGTGGTTTAGGGAGATAACTATCAACCAGTAGGTCACGGGTCCGAACCCCGCTCCACCTACAGAGGTTTAGGGAGTCAGGTGGTATCACTATCCCTCACTTTGCTCCCTTCGTTGGAACACTAAGTGGTACAGCAACAGTAAGAACTCAAGTATTTGTAAAACCGTCACAACTTTACTCATTACTAAACGAAATAAAAACTACGAGATTATTATAGGTGTTCATCATCACCGATGAAACCAGACTGACTATATTCTACATAAAATTTGTCTGACATTTCAAGACCTATCGTAGTGGATGCTACTGATAAGAATGGATATAAGTAGCATATGTTGGGAAGTCCACAGAAATCATAGGCAATTACTAGCAATGGGTAAATATTCTGCCCAGAGGAACGCAAGAGACAATCTGAGCGTATTAAGTGCAAGTCGAGATAGAAGCAGAAGAGGAAATGAAACGTTGTACAAATGACCGCGTCTTAGTCTTTGCCGTTACTTACACCATGACAATCAATTGTTAACCAATTAGTTTTGGTAAATAATAAAGAGCATCTATCAGTATCGAACAAAACAAATACTTTAGATGGATCGACATAATATAGAATCCTATAAAGTCTGAATGAATAGGACATGTGAGCGAACAATATTGCCTTTCAATTAGATCTTATCCGGCTTCACTCTCATGTACATAAAGTTCAATATGAACCAATCAAGGTAATTTGTGAGTCAACGATAACAAGGATACGGATTGTGTACTTTAGAATAATAAAATTAGTGTTAGTATAACGGATAATACGAATGTTCAGAATGGCATGATAATGTAAATATGTATCCAAGCAGATAGATGAATAGGCATATGAATAGAGTGGGTAGAATATTTGAGGCGACAACTGTTCGAAAGAAACCAATATTCATAAAGCTACAACTTAATGGGGTTGTAATTAGTGAAATCCTACTCCACAGACTATCAACAACCATTAAAAGAACTTTTTATGCAAGTAATCTCTGTCTATCGGTTTCTAGTCGACGATTTCTTTTGTGTCAAATGAAGGACAACATAACTAGTTTCGCCACTTCTGTGTATATTTACCAATTTAATTGCTCCTGTGGAACAGCTACATTGGGCGTACGACTGGGCAACTTAACCAACGTATTACCGAACACGTGCCACCTTAGCTGGATAAAAGATAGATTAAATCCATTAAAAAAAACTACTTTGTCGCATGTAGTTGCCAGTGGTCACAAGTGGAGTTTGAACTCGCCTATTACTTGTATCTGAAGCTATAGGAATTCGAATGGAAAATCCAAAGTTCTGTATTCAAAAGAAATTTGTACAACCTTTACCCCTGCCTTGACCACGGAAGACCTTCTGAGTGAACTTATGAATATTTAAAATGTTCTCCTTCCCTTTTTATTTTGTTTTCGTCACTTTTATCACGCCACTACCATATTCGCATGCAAACTTTATTTATTTACTGTCTTCATCCTCCAGTATTAGGCAGCCTTATTGTCCTTCATGCTTTGACCTACTTTGAACACTTGTAATATCCTTTATACTACCATTAATTTTACTATTCTAAAGTACACAATCCGGATCCTTATTATCGTTGATTCACAAGTTACCTTGACAGTGAGTGACTTGGTTGTGGTTAGCAGTGGAATCCAGGACGCGCGTTTCGTCCTATTTGAGACTCATCAGCTGGATGTACCTGCAACCCAGTGGGTGATGTCGCTCCCATCGAGACTCGAACCTCGTACTCGCCGCTTCAAACATCAAAGCGTTATCCACTACAACGGTGATGCATGGTAGCCACCTCTTGTACAACAAGTATCAGCTATTATTTGTTGATGTATTTGTAATTCTCCGTTGTTATACCGTATCGAAGTGACTGACCATTGCTGGCATATAAAATGCCTCAATATTGTCAAGTCAATCATAACAACAAATAGCCAGCCAATATCGAGGTGACCGCGTAGGAGCCTATATGTCGACAGTGGTCGATCAGTTCGATCCAGTATAACAACGGAGAATTACAAGTACCATGAAATAATAATTACCTTGATTGGTTTGTATTTTATATGTTGGAAGCTATGTATATTAGAGTGATGTCTGATGAGACCTAGCTGAAAACAATATTAATCGTTTAAATGTCTTGTTATAATTTTCATGATGGGAATTTTTAGCATTTTGAACAGACATTATCAATACATACCAAGATTGTATATACTAAACAGCGAAACGGAAACTAAATGATATAATGGTTGATACCTGAAAGCAACTGTACCTGTCAAAGCTTATCAGGAAGTTCCATTTCAGTTTCTTTATTAGATGTATCGTACAATAAGGCTTGGCTGTATGATGAATCTAGTAAACAAACTAGAGTGAATTTACAATCATCAAGATGGCCTATCTGCAGCTATGACGAAACGCTTTAGTGGGTGTGAAGGCGATTGAAACCTATTGTGATCACACACACACACACACACACACACACACACACACACACACACACACACACACACACACACACATGCAATTGACCTAAACAGTTAGAATTTGCATACCTCGAATAAAGGACTTATTTGATCACAATACTGTAGTGGATCCAAATTGCAGGCATTTGCAGCACGGCGAACCTGAAAACAAAAAGAACACTGAAGTAGAAAAAAAAGAGAAGTACAAGAATAAAACACTCTTATACGCATAAAATTTATCCGACTATTTTGTTACATATCAGACTTATGTGATGGTCTCCTTTATTTCGTACTATAGATAGGTATGATATCAGTCAATTTATGTGTGAGTTAGTTTTTAAGTTTCTTTGATTATGTTGACTGAATTATGACAAAGAATGTAAGAACTGCCAAGTCTAATGCTGCTTGTCCAATTCTTGTCACTCAAGAACTTGAATAAAGCAAGAAGAAAAGTGTTAACAGAATTCACATGCATTTGTTTTGTGGATTATTGCATGCTACAAGTCTAAAAGTATAATGTCCATGACAAAAAACGAAAATGTACAGCGTACTGCATAAATTTGACGAGTATGTGTTAACTGAAATAGAAGACAACTTCGATGTTAGCTCATTGGTTGGTAAAATGTTTAGAATCCATCTGATCAAAATTGGCGATTCGCAGCTTGAAAGACACCTTTTTAGTTGCAGAAATGTTGAAAGATGTGAGTTTCTCTCAGAACTTCATGATTTCTTCTGATATATCTTTATTTCAGAAGATACCATTACAACAGTCGATAAATATTATGCACCAATAACCTAATTGAGGAAGAATTGACCATTATCGAACATTACCTGCATGAAAATGATTGCTCACCATAGTTCCCCGATAAGCAGCATGGTAAAGAAACGAGAATTAAGTGTAGTGAGATTGTAAGGTTCGTCTTTCAACATCTTCATAGGCGATGAAACTATCAAAGGAATCATCCACAGACTGGGTGGTGAGCTGTAAAAGACCTATCCATCTGCCAAAATAATATATATGTACCAGATCTACTGCTCACTGAGGGAATTGAAAGTGGATAACTTCCTAAATTTTGTTACTTCTCATGTAAGTGTTAAAGAGTATACACTAAAAGAACGGAGAGAGGGTTTTGTTTATATTCCTAAACACATAGAATAAGATAAATGGGGATTTTAATTTAGAGGTAGTATTCACCACGGACTGACATCAGTTGGAGAACCATTAGAAACCTGGGAGCACTAGAAAACTGTTTCATCCTATTATGGGACTCCTCGGCAGTACGTACCCACGACCCAGCTAGGGAGTGAACTCAGGACCTTCAGGTTTCACGGTGAACGCGTTAACCATTCAGCCACTGGGTCGAAGTTCAGCGGTTCAGTTTCCAAATTCTGTTCAGTGTTCAATAGATGAATGAAACCCAGTGTTTTGTGTTCCAGGTTAAACATTTGCAATCAAAAAATCCAAACCTGATTTTCGTGTCTGAAAAAAAACATTTGATAACTTCAATCTTCAGGATTAGTAATTACAAAACTTCGTGATTTCACATCCCCGTTTTTTTCATTTTCTCTTCTTACCAACTTCACGATCTACTCACATTTCCTGTTATATTCATTTTATGTTTCTCTCCATTCTTACTCATTTTTACCATAAACGTACTTACGAAAGTCTCCTTCTTGTCGTTTGACTTCACAGGGATTGGTCTAACCACAGGAGAATCCTAAGTAGATCCAGAGCACGCAGATGAAGACACCAACAAGATGAAGTTTTCTAGACACATTGAGTGACAATTCGAGGATGTTTGGCATGCACTGCTCACCACCCAAATGTAAGTTTTTCCTCAAGGACTGGTTTTCAGTGATGCCGTGTCTAACAACAGGGAGTGAAATCGCTGAGTGTGTTGATCACTTTAGTTACCTGGGAAGTTGGATCAGCCAGGTCAGTCACCGACGAAATTTCAACACGGATATAAAACGCCCGGTTGGCTTTCACTAACCTACGCCATTTATGGCATCACTGTGATATCCGATTGCCTTCTAAGGATCGTGTGCTGAACTGACGTTTTCTACGTTCTGTTGTATGACTGTGAAGCATGGTCATTAAATGTAGAGGATATGAGAAGGCTTCAGCTGTTCGACCACCATTTCCTTCGTACCATAGGCCATGTATCATAGTGTCACCATGTCAGTGACGTATAAGTCGGGCACAGAGTTTTAGGGAGAAGAGGAAAATAAGTTGATGTTGTGAACTTTCATCGAATCATGCAGCTGGGGTAAGTGTTACGCATGTTTAATCACCGTCTGCCTAGTCCCACAATATAGGCTGCTGTCGATTCAAAAAGGAAAAAGGTTAGAGGCAGCCAGACCAAAACATGGCAGTAGTCTATGAAGTCTGATTGCTGTTCTGAGCCATGTAGGAAAATATAGACTACGCGGTTGGTTTCCGCATGACAACAAAAACCAGTGGTTGGAGACTCTCAATAACTGAGCTCAGAATTTATCTCACTGGCATATATGTATCCTCACAACAGCTTCATTTTAATAGTCACACTAAACTCAGTATTCCCTCTCGTTTTACTACTTTTCATCACGTTTGACCGCTTGGTTTCCTCTGTGTATTTCATCTTAGAGCAGTCTCGCTTGATGTGCTGATACTAGGTGGTAACTTGGACCAACATGCACCAATCCCAGGTTTTATGCTGATTTTGTCTGTCCATCTGCCTGTATTACTCACTCGAGTAGAAATTTGTCAACCTTTTGCTACGCTTGCGTAATCAACCATGTCAGTTTATTACGACTTTGAGGACATCAGTATTTCCCAATCCCCCCCCCCATCTTCTTCAGAATGTTTAATTTTAACATTCTATAAATAAATAGAGCAACTGACAAGAATTCATGAAATAAATGCATGTAACTTGTGCAACGAATATTCTTTTTACTTGATTATCGTTGTTCGCTATGTCTAGAATAAAAGTTCACTCATTATTCTATGCTTGCAAGCAGCACACAGAAAGAAATTAGAAAAGACAAATCAAACACATTTCAACGCGTGAAACATACCCATCAGGATGTGAAAGAAGAACAGGTATTTCAGCGGAGTGCATAAAATCAATTCACCAGCTCTTGTGGAGCCAGGTAATACAGGTTGTTCGATGCGACTGTTATCCAAAAGGGTTCAAAAGCACTATCTCGCATAGTTACAAAGAGGTAACAATGGAGAGATAAGGAGCCCTTTAGTTAAACATATCATGAACACAAATCATCGTATCTCAATAACCTCCTCGTTCAAAGTCATCCACAAAGTAAAAAGAAACCTTCCGATGCTCTTGTCATGCATATGGAGAAACCTGAACTGTATACGCAAAAGATTATTCAACTCCTTTTCCTATCATGGTCTTAGTTTTCAGTCTTTGAAATTTCCTTTACTTCCCCCCCCCCCACACCTTTTTGTTTCATTTTACTGTCTTGACACTATTTACTTCTTAAGTAGTTTGCCATTCATACTTGTTGCTATCCTTTGCCTGATCACAACTAACTTCCCAATTATGTAGCCATGTTACGAAACTTCTTGCCCAAACTTCTTTTGATTGATATATACTACCCATCAGTACTTTGCTTTTCGATTCTAATGATAGCTAGTTTATTGACACTATTTGTATTACCATGTTTGACAAACCGTTTCTCACTGTCAAATCTTTACACTAGAAAAATGTATAAATTTGTGATTGTGCAGCTTTGAAAATGAAATCGCCAAAAAGAGACTCTTCGCTGAAATGCTTGTTCTTCTTTCAAATCAAACATACAAATTAGATGTAAAATAAGCATTATGCGCTCACTTTGGATCCATGCTCATCAGTACCACAAGAGAGGAACGTTTTATCAAAGCTACAACGACCGAAAGTAGAATAAATGGATGGACTATCGTCCAGCTGAAAAGGTTTTAGGATTGACTGGTGACGTAAAGATCCATATCTTGCCCAAGCATCAGCCAAACACATCGTATATGCATGACCTAGATGAGGTTCTGCATGTAAAAGAAAACATTTCAATCGAAGTCAGCAAAATATGGCGAAAAGAAAATAGGTACATAGAAAGAAATAACGTGATAGGTAAATTGAATCTATTGAAATGAACAACTAAAATGATCCTTGAGATATAGACGAAAATAAATAGGTCTGACAATTTCCTGTCAGGGTTTAAATATGTCATCTAAAGCAATACAGTGCAATTAGTCTGATAAGCGCTATTGTACGGATTCGAAAATGCGTCATTCAAACAAACATTAGAACAATACGCTGGTCTGCTTACCGTTACCTAGCTTACTGTTAGGTACAAAAACCGCAATTGTTTAAACCAAGACAACAGTCACGTGGAGAATGGCAAGCCTTCCTACTGAGTCACAAGAGAATTATTTGGTTTAAAATTCAACCATTCGTTATCTCACTCTATATTATGGAAACTTCACAATTCTGTCTACTTTTTCACACCCTATTATTCCCTATCGGTAATTAATATCAACTTGTTATGTTTAGTCATCATCAAGATCAACATAGGACCAGACATTACTGCGCAACGGTCCAAGTTGCCACACCTCATATCAGCACATCATGCAACAAGGTAATAAAATGGAAGATGAAGAAAGAAAACTCGGTCAAAGGAAACAGAAAGTAGTAAAAGAGGAGGAAGAAGGCGAAAATAATGAGATTGAGTATAGCGGTTGATATGAGGATATCGTGTGTGTGCATCTGTGCCACTGACATAGGCTCTGAGCCATACCACCCAAAGTCTCCAACCAGTGGTTTCTCGTCCCACGGACCCCAACCGGCTGGTCTGCATCACCCTACATGGCTCAAACGAGCAGTCAAGGACTTTATGTATATATGCCCTGTTTTAATTTGGCCGCCGCGATCCTTTTTCCAGCCTGAACCCACTTATGTTTAGAGAGCTATAGTGAGTAAACAAACCGATGTCTGTACGATACTCTACGAAGCGTTTTTCAATATTAAGCTGTTTTTTGCAATTACCATGAAATTTTTATTAACTGACAGATAAAAAGAGAGAAAGGAAGATTATTAATTACTGTTTTTATCACATAGGTAAAGAATTCGAAAATCTGTAAATAACGTTAATCCAAACTTATCCAAAGTTGAACGCATGCCCATATTTTGTATTGCAGAAGCCTTGGCGATACATAATCTTGAACTAGAAACATGTGTGCAGAAACATTTTGTACGGTCCCCTTCCCTACCCTGGACCTAGCTTACCATTTTAATCACACGATTCTTACAACTAGTTCTTCCTTATTTTTATTTTATTCTACTTCAATCCATTTTATTTTGCCATAACAATTTCATTTCTCTTGATCCCCATCATGTCGCACTTTTTCTGACTGATATTCACAAACGTTTTTTCCCATAATCTTTACTCAACCACTTTTAAAGGAAATTTAAGAATTGTTCACCTACAAGGTAAACTGTTTTCCACTGCTCACATAGCTTAGCAACAAACCACAACTAAACAACAGAAATTTCACATATTAGATTGTGTGTGATACACAACTAAAACTTGGTTTATATCACAGATAGACGGATGAGGAACTCTCATATAAGAGATGGTAGGATAAACTCTGCAGGAGGAACGATATTCGGAAACTTACCGTACAACTTATGGCCTATCTCCGTCAACCAGATAGATCAATATGGTCTGAACAATTTAGCTTTTGTGAATAATTTTTTTCGGATACACAGCTAGTAAAGTCAGCGGAACATACAGATTACTTCGGTGTATATAACATATAAGTAACCACCCAACTGCTACATCAATGCAATAACCGGGTACTTTTACCATGAAGATTTAGTACAACCTTGCAATCTAGAAAAGTGTTTGCTTCATATCCGTAAAGAGCAGATAGTCTCAGTGCACAAAGCTATACAATAACTTTGATTTCGAATTCAAAGTTTCAATACTGAAAGCACTAAGGTGCAACAGCAGTGTAGTGTTTCTTAAGAAGATGCTCTAAACTGGACTATCTTTTTTGCAAGAAAAGGCTGAAGCCATCGACATTGACAAGTATAGAATCAAAATCCAAGAGAAATTAATAGTTCTTAGTCATTTATAACCTAATTCAAATAACTGTTTGTTGAATGAACAAATATTCTTTTCAATGAATTGTCATGAGTTTCCCCCTTAATAAAACTCATCTGTACTGAGTGAAAACAAGCTAAATAAGAGGCAAATACATTTTCAAAATGGAGTGAGATTTAGAGTCTACAGGGTAACCGATCTCTCTTTCAAACTTTGCAGTATTAGGATGACATACATACACATGAATAGTGTGTTGGGAAGAGAAAAGACAACGAATGCAGAATACAGGAGTGGCCTTCAATTTATCGAAGGCCAAGGGTGGAATAACTCTTGAACATATTCCTTCTGAATGAACAGTTTAGGTTTGATAAATCTTATTGCAACAACGTGTTATTTTGAGCAGATGTTTGTGAGCTACATGTGGTAAACTTTTCGGGATACGGGATATGACACTGGGAGCTTTATTAGCATTTATGTGATGTCCAGGTGAGCTAGGAATGAACTTTTCACCACTTTCTTTTCCCCATTTCCAAACCAAGCTGGTAAATGCTCTCACATCTGGAGACGCACCTTTCTAATCGTACATCCTACTTATCTTGTTCCACAGGAACAATTAAATTGATATATACAGGTTGAACATGTAAGATTAAGTACGTCATCCTTCAGTCTCGAATTGAGCACTGACCGACTGCTGAAAGATGTGCAAGGACGACCTGCATACAATGTACTATTGACTATTCTAGCTAGGCAATATGGAAGAGGTTGCTTGAAGCGTACAATTAGGAAGTTGCCTTTCCGGATGTGAGAGCATTTACCAGCTTGGTTTGGAAATGGGGAAAAGAAAGTGGTGAAAAGTTCATTCCTAGCTCACCTGGACATCACATAAATGCTAATAAAGCTCCCAGTGTCATATCCCGTATCCCGAAGAGTTTACCACATGTAGCTCACAAACATCTGCTCAAAATAACACGTTGTTGCAATAAGATTTATCAAACCTAAACTGTTCATTCAGAAGGAATATGTTCAAGAGTTATTCCACCCTTGGCCTTCGATAAATTGAAGGCCACTCCTGTATTCTGCATTCGTTGTCTTTTCTCTTCCCAACACACTATTCATGTGTATGTATGTCATCCTAATACTGCAAAGTTTGAAAGAGAGATCGGTTACCCTGTAGACTCTAAATCTCACTCCATTTTGAAAATGTATTTGCCTCTTATTTAGCTTGTTTTCACTCAGTACAGATGAGTTTTATTAAGGGGGAAACTCATGACAATTCATTGAAGGAAATATTCTTCATCCAAATTGTTACTTTTATTAATGTTATGGGGATGTTCAAATATCTGAAATATTTCTGATGTTTATGGTAAGTTTGAAAAGTACTGCACACAACTCAAGTTTAGTGATAATAAATGTATTCGTTCTACAATGCATACTTCATTGATGCATATCCTTTGGCTTTTGCTATCACTTCCAAAATTTGAACAAGTTTGCTTTCTTTCTGCAATACTTCATATTGACTAGTCGAAACCAGTAGCGAAAGACGTAAACAAATGTCACCCAAATAAGTTGTATCAGAGACCATATGAGATTTTGATGAAGCGAAACCCAAAACGACAACTGAGGAAACAACTTCCAAGATAAATGGTTGGCCATTAACTGTCAGAACATACAACAGTAACGGGAACAACACTGAGTGGTAGTAGTAGTAGTAGTAGTAGTAGTACTAGTACACCTAACCACCAGCTACCTTTCAGACGTCTACTATCCAGTCACAATTTCAACGGAAAATCCAAATTGACTCTCCAGTTCTCATCAAATGTAAGAGACTTAAACTAACCGGAAACTAGGAACAGATGCTTACACAGGTCTTTGGATACAATTGCTCATATTTATCCATCACATTAACGTTGACAGAGGGTCACAATTTACCGGTCACCAGTGATTATTTCAACCCACAAGGAAGCATGACGATACCCTTATAATGACTACAGAGAATCCAGCTTGAGCAGCATGATTTCCAAAATCCTAGGGTTCATAGTGAATCGATATCTAAATGGAACTCTTGAACCTGGTTATGAATATGTCTATCAAATCTTCGACCGCCCACCCTAACTGTTAAACTCAAATCTAGATATGTTTCCTGACCTGAATGTAACCCTTAATTTAGTCGATTAAGGGGTACTGTGGCAGTATTTCTCACTAAAACGGTGGTCTAGTGAGGAAATGCAATCACTGAAGGTGCTATGATCGAATACGTGTTTGTACCAATAGCCATTATGACTTACTCTCAGAAGTGACAATATCGTATGAAGTTGCCTAGAGATGTCCACTCCGTTTCTCTGGGTAGCAGTTCCTTTTTCTACTTTTCAGTTATTGTTTTTGTAACTAAACATACCTCAAAATAAAAATAGGCAGATAGTGTAGCCCTAGTAAATGTGATCTCAGAAAAAATTAAAACTTCTGAACAGCAAATGTGCATGTCCGATATGTGGCTCAGCTTATGGTGGTTTGCACTAACGACTAAGTTAGCAGAAGAAATAACACGGCCAAGTGAATCAATTGTGGTACGTTACTGATCATCTGAAAGCTGGTAAGAATTCATTTAATGAATGCCAACTTACATTACTGAATGCCAATTAAGATCCAATCTTACTTCGCAGTAACATGCTCCATTCCGAACCTGACCACTTGGGTGAAAATATGTACAATGGTTACGTGTGGTTGATCGCTAACATTCTCAAAACAGAATTCGGGTGTAACCCAATCCACCGGATGGATGACGCTGGTGTTAATTAAAAGATGCAAATTAAACGACAGTGGTCAAACTTCAGGACATCTACCAAGTATGCTTAGTAATCACCTACTCCATTTCAAACAGGTCAAGGCAGGATAAAAACCCTAGGGTGGTCAAATCGAAACATATCACTAACCAATGAAACCACTGCATCAAAAGCACGAAAAACTGTAAGCTTCTTTCTTGTCGCCTGAACGGTAACAGAAGCTGACAGAGGTGTCGACAAAATTACCATAGAAGTTAGCACAGAAGTGCATCAGTTCAAGTTGACACACTTCGCAGTAGAATGCAAACTACCAGTGAATAGAAAAATGATAGGAAAGAAGATAAACATATATGGGAAGAGAAAGAATCTGAAAATGAAGGTTACTGAAAACAACCAAGCTCTGGAAGACATTAGTGAGTGAATAAATCTGTACTAATGCGATTGATTTTCAGCCTTATCATTAAGAGTCCTCAACCACTGATTTCTTTAGTACCAGGCACCCCAGCCACACCTCATATGCCTCAGACCAATAATCAAAAACTTCATCGATTGGTGCCATGTCTAAGTCTACCCACCCAGAACCCTCTTTCAACATAATTCAACTTCCCGTAGCGTAGGCGGTGGCTCGACAAACGTAAAACATGCTCAAGATACTTAAGTCGACTAACGTTCACAACCTTATACACCGACCTGCCCAGTACCCATAACTTGACCTCAACACCGTTCACATGGTGACTTCACCATACAGGAGCAGTGCTACGAAGATACATATGATCACAACTCTTCAACCACTTATACTCTTCTACTCTCAACGGTCATGTCCCACAAACGTATAACAGCACAGAACCGACTGCAGCACATTATACTTGTACTTCGATGAATAGTCGGATATCTAGCCAGTCACCGCCACATGTGACGCAAGTTGGCAAATGACAAACTCCCCTTCTCTATCCGAGCTGAGATTTCGTCACCAACCAGACCGTTTGGCGAGTTGATACAACTCCCCAAGCAAGTAAAGTGGTTTACACATTCCACCACTTCACCCCCTATCATTAAACTGGGAGTATTTGTAGCAGGCAAGTCCTGGAACATCATCTTACATTTCACAGGTGTCAGCGAAACACATACCAAACATACTAGGATTCCCCCTCAACACCATTCATTTAGTCAGCGTCTTCACTTAACAGGACGAAAACGTCTGCATACTCCAATTCAACCAGATAACCTTCAGGGAGTAGGTCAATCCCTGTGAAGTCAGACGTATCTAAGGTTATATCCATTATTACGTCTATAACGAAGCTAAACAGAAACGGTGACAGTGGGTATCCTTGCGGGACACCACTGGTTGTAGTCAATTCTGATGACAACTCTCCACAAGCCCTTACACAGCTCTGTGAGTTCAGGTAAAGAACTTTGAAAATCATCATATACTTGCCCAGCCAGACACTGTCACAACACCTCATGGTCGACAGAGTTAGGTGCCGCCTTGAGGTCAAAAAATGTGGCAAGCGTCGGCCACTGGTAATCATGCCTCTGGTTCAGAACCTGTCCGAGGGCGAAAATCTCGATGCACCCTCGTTCAAGCCTGAAACCTGCCTGGTTCTCTCGAGTTTGCTGTCCTCGAACTCCAGATTAGGTGTCGGATACCTATAGATCCTAGGGTCTGGGATACAATATTAGTCAGACTAATTCCCCAATGGCCGTCACAGGGAGACTACTCTCCTTTCTAATAAACTAGGATGATCACTGAAGTAGACTGGCTTGACAACACCACCTCTGGTTCCCATACACTGTCTAGTACCTCAACAGTTTCCCACCTCCATCCTTCAAAATTTCGGGTAGCACTGTCAGGTACTGCTGCTTTGCATTGGTTCAGGTTCATGCTGGATGTTGGGAAACTGAAGCGTTGCTGTGTGCCGGTTGAACTGCGCTTCAGAGTATTCTGCCCAACGTTCTAACCACCTATCTTGAGTCGTTACGAGCATCTCATCCTTTTCGGTGTTAATTTCACTAAGCATCGTCTTCTTCTTGCCAGTATCCTCAGTAAGCCTAAATGGTTGTTGGGTTTTACCTAACGCTGATGTATTCTCCATCTCTCCCGTCCTCACCACAGCCCGCGATTATTGCGAAGACTCTTGGTCAGTTAACGTTTGAGTTGCTTTCGCACTCCACTGTGGTCACAACAGCTAGAATCAGTCTTTTCGCGTCAAACACTTCGGATGACGTGGAAATCAGTTGACGTTTGCTAATCCTCAGTTGTAGGTTATTAACTATCTCTATCATTTGTTCTAAAGCAGACTGAATATCATGCCAGTTTTCCTCAGGATCAGTACTGCTGTCATATTCAGACAAATATTTAGCCACCTCTCCAGATACGTACTCCACTTCCCCATCTTTTAGTCGAGTACATTCAGGCTTCACTGTCATGCGTTTCCTATGAAGAGTAAGGCACAGACATGTCAGCGCTCTCACTAACGTGTGATAGGAGTTCAAACAAGTCTAGAGAGAGCAGCAGTCCTCTCCAACAATGGCTAGCAGTCATATGATCTATCTGAGTCCATCGCGAACCCTTATTGAGACACTGTTTCTCTTTGTGCTTGAAGTTACGGCTGCGTAGAAACAAGTGATTGTTGGGACGGAGATAGAGAGTTAATAGTTCACAGTACAACATAACATTCCATAGGTTCATATATCATTTATCCTATTATGTGCCTTCTATCCTGTTTCAACTCTTAATTATTCCCTATTACTCGTAAAAGCATACTCTTTCTCCTGCTTGCTGACTATCCAATGCTGTTGCTGAGTATGAAGACCTAACCAAAATAAGGACATCTAAAGTCCTACATATCTTCTGCTTACCACTTGCGACAATGGGCATTGTTATTTTCGGAGAGCAGACTTTGCAGTCATGTAGAACTTTAGGTATCCGTAAGTTTCATATGTAAACTGGAGAAACGTAAATAATCCGGAATCTTATTGACATGTGATCAAGTCCTGAAAAGGCAGTTGTGAACATGAAATATCAGAATCCTTCCACTAATATCCAGGAAATTATCTGACAATGTGAGGGATAGCACACAAATCACTCGTTGAGAAAAGCCTAAAATGTTACATGATGCACTTGGAAGAGCATCTCAGTCAAGCCTATGCACTGGAGCATAGGCCTACAACCTACTGCACCTATTGAAACGATTTTACCGAGTATTTCAGTAACACCAGCCCTCGTTTGACAAGACAATACGGATTAGTCAGTAAAAGTCGACCAATACAAGTTCGCACGATTTAGCATATTATAAGGGGGGAAACAGTGAGATAAACAAGAAGGATGTGAGACAAGAACATATGCATAGCTGGCGACTAATGAATTGTTCGCAATCTTGTGTTTCAAGCGACGGGTGGTCTGCACGAGTTACTTCAACTGTTAGTGATTACATATATTGGTGTCGTCTTGATATTCCTTTAATCTAATCCTACTGGCATTTCAGCGCAGATTCTAACCAGAACAGCGAATTTCAAACCTTGTTCTTCGCTATCTACAACATAAAAAGGGAAACTTTACAAAATATAAACTGTTTACTACTCCTACTATGCTTATGGCATCCTTACCTTCTGACTACCATCCCCAAGAAAATAAATCAAAACAGACACACACAAAGAAAAGCCTCATCCAGAATATCCACTGATCAACTTACTTGCATTGACGTAAAATATCGGACATGTCAGGAAAAAGGTGTTCTTCGCTTCTGTGTACGCAGAACGTCGCAAGTATTTATACACTGCCTTCCAGTACAGAACCTGACGAAACTATTATGAAAACGCATTGTAGACTAATCCAGTCCAGCAATTAAAAAAGCACTGCTTGGATTTATATTTATTGCAATGAAAACGTACAAATGTTAGATAGCAGGTAAGAGATTTTACAAAACACGCTAGAATAACTGTAAAACAAAGTAATGAAAGACAGATTTTATCTGGTTTAAGTCATAAACTAAGCTTTTAAAAGCAAACTGGACATCATTGCCAATAATATACCATAGCTCATTTGCCACACTCACTTCGGTTTTGGAGAAGAATTTATTCACCACCTTAATAAATAAAATGAAAATAACATTAGGTCGACATAAATAGTCGGTAAAGCAACATAGGAATTACAGTGACTCAGAAAGTCGCTCCGATGTTCATTCCAGTACCCACTCTATGTTAACACTGTCAACAGAGCAGGCTGAAACTCGGCTCCGTTTTCATCACAGTCACAAACAATAGTACAAACTACAAACCCATTATGACGAGTTTAAAGGTAAATCTAGCAGCTGCTGAGATAACCAATCGCATTCTGGGATTTCCGCTGGGAAGGTAGTTTTTCAGAGAGTAGAAGAATCTAAGTGGGTATCTCAGCAGTTGCTAGCTTCACCTTTGAAGTCACTCAAGCCTCTACCCAACAAACGATTAGAAATTCCGCCTATACACAAATATTGTCTGATGCCTAGAGAAGCGAATGTTTCCTTGGAAGGCAACACAATGCAAGTGTTTAGTGGTCTAAAGTGACCCAGTGTACAACAGACCAATAACTCACAGCGTGAACAGTGCAACGCTAGCATTTGACTGCCGCATTGAACCTACTTTCAAACTTCAAGCTTTATGCTGCATAATCAGTGAACGATGGTTCCTTCAGTTCTAAATCTGTCTTGTTAGCGTATGTCCTTGGTTCGGAATGTTCAAAGTTGTCTTCTTGGTTGCGAAAAGCCTGCAAGGATAGAGATAATCGATTGTTAATTAATCTGCTCCCTATGGGTAGTATTACTCCCCCTGATCTGTGAATGACGGAAAGCTTCTCCCATACAGTCCATCGATGCCATAAGAATTTAAATGTGCACTTGACCTCCTTTTGAAAGTATCAGATGAGGGGACTGTAACAACTTCTGAGGAAAGAGAATTCCACAGTTTATAAACCCTAGCTACAAATGAGTTAGCATGAATCTTTTTACGTGCTCTCTCATGTTCTACTCTTAAGGAGCGGCCCATAGGACAGCTTTCGTGATTAAAGTCTAGAAGGAGTCTGTTGAGATGAAGGGTATTATTATGTTCAGTGTCATACATCATGGTCATATCCCCTCTGGTCCTCCGGGATTGTACTGTTTACAGCTCAAGAGCAACTAAGCGATCCATATAAGGTCCATACCGTAGCCCAATCACTTTCCTCTTTGCTATTCCCTGAACCTTTCATGGGATGGCCATGTCCGTCTCCAAGCATGGGGACATCAAGGGAGAGCATTTTTGAAGATGAGGATGAATACAAAGCCTTGGTTGTATTGTGTTCTCCGAGCTCGGTTGTTTGATCGTGAAGCTTTAATCGTCTTTCTAGATGACATCACCAGCACTAACTTCAGCATGAAGTGAGCTCTCAATATCTCTTCGTGAGTGACTTAGTAGTTTGCCCTGACGAAGTTGTTTGTGATTATTTGTGGTGAAAAATGGCCGAAATCAGATCTCCTAATATTCGCGCAAGGTACCTCAGGAGTCCATAGGTGTGTAGCGTCACACACCTCCCCAAAATCAAAAGCCCAAGGTTTGACGATTTTTGACATTGATGCTGACCTTGATAGTTTAACCGGATTCGCTAAGCTGAAGGCACCCGGTCAAGCATCCTCGCCATTTTGCACGCTGTCGTGTTACGTTGCACTGCTCGTATTCAACTCTCTGGCCAGTTGGTTGAGACGCATCGGTATCTTGGCCCAACCATCCAAATATACTATTCCATCCGACTACGCTATCGTGTTCTTCCTTGGTCTCGTACTCGTAGGTATATAACAAGTTCGAATAATTAGTGATTGGTCTTTGCGTCTGTCAAGTTCGCACCAAAACAGACCCTAAATTGGTGAGGCCGGCGTGATCACATATCCCAACCAATAACAGATATTGAATTGGTGAGCCTGTTTCATTTTATATTTGTTTATCGCTTTCATTTGGATAACATTTCTATATCCATTTACTACACTTTCTCATGTCCGACCACACTCCCAAGCTTATTCGTATTAAGTCGACTACGAACACGATCCAACTTGTGCCATGTTGGCCAGGCAATGCAGAAACATGGTTTCTGTATGCCGAGGCAGATTTTCGAGAACAGGGCGTCTCAGATCCTCGTTCTCGATTTCTTGCCATCATACGCTCACTACCGCGGGGATTAATTAGGCATGTTACGGCACACATGTTTAATCCTGAAGTAAGTGATCCTCATGCACCTCTCAAGGCCGCACTCTTGAAGAAAAGCGATCTGACAGATCGCCAGAGCCTAGACGAATTACTTCGTAACATCGAGCTAGGCAGCCACTTAGCCACTGAGGTCCTCGCTCGCATGCAAGAAGTAATCGGTGCACGAATATTCGACAATGGACTTTTCCGAGAACTGTTTCTCTCGAAACCACCACAACCGGTGCAAACCGTGCCGGTGACACTGCAGTCAGTCCCACTCGACGACCTGGCGGCCTCCGCAGATAAAATACTGGGGATTTCTGGCAGACCCGTCCCCAACGTACATTCCGTCCGCGACAAACCAGAGAGCCAGGATTCCGAGGCGACCAAGCTGTGCAACTCTGCTAAACGTTGCTACGATCTCGAAGTCCTAGCTCGCGTAGAACTCCACAGAAACGCATCTTAGCTCATCGCAGCAACTCGCGTGGTTGCCCCAAAACTAAACCTAACAGGGTGGAAAGCCCTGAATGGTGCTGGTTTCATAATACTCACGGAGACGAAGCCAGAAAATGTCGGAAACCACGTAGTTTTAACAAGGACACAAACTTGGGAAACAGTCACGCCGGCAGGCGTTCACGGCAACCGTAGCCGGCGGAAGCAGCCGTTTGCCCTACGTCATGGATATCAAAACGAAAGTTCGCTACCTCATCGACGCCGGCGCAGAAGTTAGCGTTCTTCCCGCACCGACAAAGGAGCATCATCATGACCCATCCTTTCGTTCTCCTTTCACCCTCCTTTACCTCTCCTTCCCCACATTATTATTATTTTTTCCTCTCTTTTTTTCATTTTTTTTATTTCTTTCTTTATTCTCTCTTCATTCCCTCACCACTACCCTACTATTCTCTTTCAGGTACCTACACAAACAGGAGCCACGGCAGTTCTCTAAACGTCCCAGCAACCCTTAGCTCCCTAATCACTCCACAAACTACAACCTGCTAACCCACAAAACATCCACCTCACCGAAGCTAAAAGCAAGAAAGCAGAGGGGACTTCCCCGTCCACTGCAGGAGTGAACCAAACAACTCGAACCAAGCCCTAAGAACTAGACGCGAAAGATCAAAAACTACCAGTTTTCTACGCTCGCACTATCAATATTGGATATTGGATTTCTAGACGACATCACTAGCGCTAACTTCAGCATGAAGTGAGCTCTCAATATCTCTTCGTGAGTGACTTAGTAGTTTGCCCTGACGAAGTTGTTTGTGATTATTTGTGGTGAAAAATGGCCGAAATCAGATCTCCTAATATTCGCGCAAGGTACCTCAGGAGTCAGTAGGTGTTTTTGGCTGCAAGGTGACAATGAACCGGAGCTCCGAGTGTGTCACTTAAGTTATCTACCAGGTCTTTTTCAACGTCTGGGTGACATAATTATTTCATTCAGGGAGTAAGAAGTGGAATTATTTCTTTATTTGTAGACAATCATTATCCTACACATCTCCGCGTTGAGGGGGAGCAGGTTTCATAGCGGTCCAATCTAGGATTTTTGAAAGGTCCTCCTGGATGACCAATTTATCCATTGGTTCCTGCATCTTTCTCCTAATCTTCAGATCACCGGCATATAATATTGAGTGAGAATTGAAGAATCCTGGTGGGTCATTGATAAAAGCAGGAAACATAAGTGGGCCAAGAACAAAACCTTGAGGCCTACCACTCGGTATCGGGAGGCTTTTAGATAAAAGAGAGCCAGCCCTAAACAACTGCAACCAGGTCTGAAGATGGCCTGAAGACCAACCCGGTAGTTTTCTGCACACACCAGTGAGCTGTGGTTTCTTACACAGGATGTCGTGATTTGCCTGGTCAAACGCCTTAGAAGAGTTAATTAAACCGATGTGAACGGGCTCTTCCTGCTCATCAGAGGGGGTCAAGCCGTTCCAGACAGTCAACAAGTTGGTGCTACATGAACTTCCAGCTGAAATCCCGTGTTAGTAGCCATTGAGGATTGAATTCCTAGGTAAGCGATCACGGGGTGGGTGAGCTACGACTCTTCAAACGCTGTATAACTTAACCACCGCCAACAATAACTCCCGAAATTCGCGTGAAGCACCAAACTGACATTTCGTACTGGCGAGTTGAGGCGGGTTAAAATCTCCCATAATGAGGACCCGCAGAGATCTGAAATCCAGAGTTCCTCTGATGGACTGCATCATCATCTTGTTTGAGTAGTGGTAGATCCAAGAGGGTGGTATAAAATTCCAAAAAACGGTGACTGCCTTAGCACTTGATGGTATACCGGAGTACAATTTTGATCCTAATTATCTTGAAGCAAATCTCATGGACTTTCGAGGAACAACGTGTAGAAGGAGTGACGCCACATCCTGAGTCATCGAATCTTCGCGTTGCAGAATTCGTGGACTGGACACTTCCTGGGTTCTCCCCTTGTTGTATCAGAATTGGTTTTCCAGCACAAACACAGGTTGTGTGATCAGACCAAAGTAAACTCTGGGGTTTCGTCCTCGAGGCTGCATCCTAGATGACTCAGTAAGGTTCTCAGATGGTTGTCTGTGCCTGCTCAAATTTTCCTTCAACAGACTTGTTCACCTGGAATTGTGTCCAGGCACCCACTCCATCCGTCATTCTGTCATACTACCTTGCTCCACTCATCTATGATCTCAAGGAACCGGTTACTTCACGCACCTGTGTTCATCCTGGTGGTTCTACAGGTGTACGGCCTCCCCAGAAACCAGCCCATTGTTCCTCCACGGTCTCACATTCGTGAGTTCAAATCAAGCACAAAGAGAATTTGACTGCTATTTCTTTGGCACATTCGTCTTCACAGTCAGCAGACTGACTAGCTTGTCCACTCCGCAGCTGTTAATTCTTTTCATGCTCACGGGTCTTTACTTATTAGCTTATTGCTGTTACCATCAAATCAAGATGAAGCCAGACACGACAACCCACCCAATATGGCCTATACATTTCTGCTCTGGAAATGCAAATTTATAATTTTTGAAGGCTGGATAGATATCATATTAGAAAGCGGGCCCATTGAGTTCACTACGATTCATCACCTAATTATTGCAAGAATCGTGGGCAGGAGCAAAAAATTTTGTACTGGATATTCATCTACCACCACTACACCTGCGGATACTTTTCTATTAGCCCTTGCCCGTGACAGCAGGTGCAAAAACTAAACGATAACCTAAAAACAACTGGTCCTTGTGCATTGTTGCTTCTGATACCGCCAGTATTAATATTATTTGTCTGCAGTGGATGTTTAACTTTAAGGTACGGCACAGTGAATGAAGTTGTGAATACCACACCGAGAATTCCGCACCGTTTTAAAAATTGTCTTCTGGAATATGGTGGTTATTATTTTCGTTGTTATTGCTGAAGTACATCTGACGACGTATAAGTTGGGATGAATGTCTAGTGTACCTTAGCGACGCCAAAATGCTATCATGTTTTAAAATGGATTAAAAATGATTGGAATACCTCAAAACTAAGTAATCTGCCAAGGTGCCAACAGCTGCTTCGAGTCTTTTCAGGCATCTATTATTGCACTGGCATCTACTTATGGGTCACCATGATTTTCCACATGCTTTATGCCGGCTAGCAGCCCCATTTTGAGAGTTCATAGCCCAGCCACTTAGAGACAGATGAGTTAAGGCTGTTCCTTCAAAAAGCTTCCGAATAAAAACACCGCGCTTCTGAGCGCGTTTCACCAACTAGCGTGTTTTTTATTCTTGTCCCACCCCAAGTACTTACACACACACAAAGTACCGACTAGCTTGGTGCTGGTGGATACAAATACGTAAGACTGGCTGTCCGGTGGGTGGCAGCAAAGCGCACCCAGTCTCTTACGAGTGCACGACGCCACCAACCAATGAGAGTTTGATGTCAACTTCTTCCACCAATCGTTTCTATCCCAGCTATCATATCCACTACCAGTTGCGCTGGTTACGCTTCAGATTTCTGTTTCCGGGCCCAGGCAACAAAATCCTGAGGGCTTGTGATCCGTTTGTCCCCAGCTTGCACTCCGTTGCAGAAAGAGTTGCATGTTTGGATTCTAAAATACCAAAGCCCTGAAACTTTACTGAGCAACATATTAGATTGAGAAGCCCTCAAACCCAGTGTTGAACACAGTGTCCCTGCACCTCATTTTACCGTTTTAGGTCTCAGAACCAATGAAAGATGAAGCAGCGAAATGGAAACACCTCGGAATGCTACCGATGGCACAACAGTCACTAACCGGTCTGTAGAAATTGAATGGGAGATCTTACTTTCATCGTCGACGTCCGAAACCTGTTGTGATTATTGCTGGTGAGGATGGGCCCTGGTTATCAGTAAAATTTATGATCATGATGACCTGTTGTATCACTGATGCTGTAACAGAATTCCACGTTCTTCCCGCCACCTTAGGTGATTGTTAGTATTGCTCACTCTCTAGGCTGACGACTGCGGATGAAAAACCCAACCCAGCCCTTGTAAAAAGATTTATTCCTCTCTTGACCTGGATCTGCGGAAATACACACACATTTACACGGAAACTTTCTAATAGCATATACATCTAGTCACGTCCATGAATGTCTCCACTTACCCCATCTGAATTACTGGTTGGTGCCCGCTGACCATGACTAACAGATGTCAACAAGAAACTGCCTATACTTGGAGCTCTTTCGGTTCCAAAGACATTCGCTAGGCTTCACAAATATACCGTTCACAGAAGACTTAAGCTTTCTTGTCGTGATTGCAGGGTGGTCTGTAATGAAGTATTAAACGGACATTCTTGGTGGGAAAGAACCGTTCATTGGCAAAATGTGGTCCATCATTACTTGCTACCAACAGCTTGTGAGTTAGGAATGTTTTGAGAAACGAAGTCTATTCGAGCTCATAGCACCCTTTATGGTGACGTTAAGGCATCGGAATGTTTGGGCGCTGTCTCCCAGGTCTTAATAAAAGGAAATGATAATGAATCAAATCAGCTCTCTCAAAACCCAGCCGGGCGAGCCCACATGTGTTTCCCTCCATTGTGTATACACGACCCAATCATACTACTCAAAAAACGCTTAGTTAGCCACATCGGTGCACGGTGGTTACGCTTCCTGAAGACTCATCTGTCTATGTCTTGACAACTTACTCCCCACTTGAAAGGATTCTTCCAAAGACAATTCATCAAACATCCATTATAAAATGCCTTCAGGTATGCCTCGCCATGGGCTGCATCTATTTTACTTGCTGCCTCCAAGCACTGCGCCTACTACTACCGGATTGCAACCATGCGGTGGTCTCTGGTTCTAATCCTATTGCGGTCTAATCTTTCATTCCACCTTCAGTCATCACCCGGTGTCAATATGCATTTGTTCTCATGAGCTCATAGCACCTTTCTCCAGAAAGTTAAATTATAAGACCTTTGTAACACTCTTTCAGGTGAGTTCCGACAGAAAGTTTGATTTTTTTGACACCCTAAGGTCTCCACGAGTTGATAAAAGGACACCTTTTGGTTTTTTTGCACCCCACTTATCGTACACTTTAACTCTCGGCAAGGAATTTTTAAAGTGATCACTGTAATGAAGAGTATCTTATTCAATTTGCCTCAGGTTTCCACTATCATTTGATGCTCGTAGTCTGCTCTGTCTTTTCTGGCGCTCAGGCATTGTGACAGTTTTGAGCTGCATAACCACCTGCCTTGAGAGCGGTATTGGAAAGTTTCCTACACCATGTGCAACGTTTTATGTCTGGATCAGTATCACAAAGCATGTCCACAGGACTACGAATAATTAGAGCCTTTACTAGTCAACGCATCCAGTATATTTGGCAAACAACAATATGTTGCCGACAGTGTCAAGAGAAAATAAATCCTGGATTAATTGAACTGGCAACCTACCCGTTACGGATTTTTGTTCAGGAGGCCACCCTTCAACCCCATTCAGTGCTCATATGTATTCTCAGGCTTGTTGACCTCAACCAGAAGTCACACCAACAACTGATAAGCAAGCTGACATCTCAGCCATGCAACTCTTTGACATATTCAATACCAAAGTTGTGGCCGTGCTGCCTATTTCCATTTGTTTTTAATGAACCAACAGTATCGAACTCAGACGTCGTAGAAGTTGTACTGGATGGAAGGTGGGCTAACTGAAGAACAACAGTGACACTTCGTGATTACACTCGACTGCTGCTTCTGGTGGCAATTCATAAGCAGCTGTTCACTCATAACCTCAGTTGGTTGTGTTAACCAGTTTGTGAAGTGAACTGGATGGAAAACTAGCTACATAGCGCCCCGCTATAATTACGGAGACAGATCGAAAGCCAATAATTACAGACCCATAATCATAACACCAGTCCTCTCTAGAATCATGGAAAAGTAATTGACAGTAGCGTCTCTGATTACCTATTAACAGAAAATCTAATCACAAAGCCTCAGCATAGCTTCATATAGAATAGGTCCTGCGTTAGCTGCCACTTCGATTTCTTCAACTTCATCACTGGTAACCGTCATTGTTCTACACTCTGATATGTCAAAGGCATTTGTTAAAGTGTTTCATAACGCACTCTTTAATAAGTTACAACCAATTGGCATTTGCAACCCCTTACTTAGTTGGATAAAATCATTTCTTAGCGATCGGGCTCAAATCGTGAAAGCAAACTCCATACAGTCTGAACCTAGACATATGACTCGCGGAGTTACACAGAGTAATGTCCTTGAGCCTTTGTTGTTCGTATTCTATGTCAACAGTGTGTGTAACTGCTTCAGTGAAGGCAAAACGTTCATATACGCCGATGACTTTAAGGTTGTGTGCATTTGTCACTCTCATGAACTACGTAATACTCTGGATACTGCCCGACAGGAACTAAGTAAACCTGCATCATAGTGTGCTGAGTCCCAGCTTGAATTCAATAATGACAAATGCGGTTGGCTTAGTATAGACAACGACGGCCATAACCTGACCCTTGAGGTATACGGAAAACAGCTACCTAGACAAGCTTCTGTGTTAGATCTCGTCATAAGGTATTCCAGAGACTTGACATTCTTGGAACAAACAGCATATATCAGATCCAAGTCACGCGAACTCTTGGGATGTATCATTCGTAACTTCCGTAGCACTGAACCACGGGTTCTACTCTATAAAGTGTGCATTCACCCGCCTTTAGAATGCTGCCCGTTCATTCTCAGTGGCCTCCATAGAAGTGATAAACTGTAAGTTGAAGGGGCACAACGTTACCTCACCTTCAGAACATTGGGAACCGACTGCAACCTAAACTACACGTCCAGATGTAACATGCTGGGATTAGAACCACTCTGGAAGGGAAGACTTAAGCTGAACCTTATATTTTATTATGAGTTACTTCATCAGCACTTGCACTCTTATGGTCCGCAAATCAAGCTGATTGGAACGTCTACGTATGATATGCACAGCCACAAAGAATTGGTTGAAACTGAGTGTTGTACGACGAGGTTGCGAGATAATTTCTTCCTCAATAAATTCTCACACATCTGGAACAGGCTTCCAGGAGAAACTCGTACGGCAGCTGGTTGACACTTTTCCACTCTTCACTTAATAGGCTACTAATGAACGATAAGTCTATCGCTCAATTAGCCACCGTCTATGCATCCTGTGCTAATGAAAATATACTTGGACCTCTAAATGTATGAAACAGAGCTATCATAGCCCTCAAGTTCCTCCTGCACTGATGGGTTGACGATTGCTTACAGGAGTGTGAGTACTGATTTCCCCTCACTATACGAACTTGATGTACGCTGGTTCCCTCTCAAAGCTACTACGATACACTCCGGACAGAAAAGTTTTAAGAATCTTATAATAGAAAAACTATGTGGTAAATCACACACATACATGAAAGTGTACATATAGTTCGGATAGGTCTAAGAGTATAGGAACTTCCCTCTTTTCCAAGCCAGTCTGCGTGGTAATTCCCTTTTCCACACTTGCTCTTGCTTCTTCTTTCTTTTTTATTTTACAGTAACAGCTGGATGATGATATTTGATGCTGAACCTCAATCTGGACATACCTACTAAGTAGAAATAATACCTGCCGTTTAACTCCATCAATTATTGACCCGCTCCCAATCTTTGGCGGTTTCTGGAACATCTTCACAGTCGACTCATCAGCTGGTCAGGAATATTCTTGCAGTGAACCGTCTAGAGTTTCCCAGCAGCCATAGTGGCACAAATATTCTGAACAAATGATCAAAAGGGAAACCAATATACCCATTGGCTCGGAATTCGACCTACTTGCAGTAATTCCACACCACATGTTCTATAGTATCAGTGACCTTTTTGGGTAAAAGCTACCATGCATCAAATATACTTCTCGAATGATACTGCTTACGCCAATATGAGCGATGCCTGAAGTCCATATAAAACTGCCGCCATTTGGACTATTAGCCGCCCCGACGTCTACTTCCATCTGCTACTAGAAGTACTCCCAGTGGAATTAATGTACACTACCTTCAAACCACATGGTGGACTGGAAATGCATGGATTTGGACACTCACTTTGTTTGTATAACTGTGGATACTTACTGATACTCCAGATCGTATAAACAGACCCTTTGAGGCTAGCAGAGCTACAAACTGAAGAACTTTCCAGTGAATGGGTGTTTATATTACTAAATAGGAAACTGCAAATGGGCTAACAAGGCCGTCCGGTTATAACGCAAACTTCGAATATTGCTCACTTTTGTCGTTGGTGGTGGAACCCATCTGTGTAATGACAGATGGAAATCCATACCCGTCTCTTGATTTGCAGCAAGCTTTAATAAGTTTATGCATATCAATAACTTGCTGTGTGAGTTATACAATTCTCGGTACTATTCCGTGAACTTTCAAAATCATCATTTTGACGGTGCCTGTAAACTGGTATCTGTCATGTCAAATCCATTATACAGGAATGGGAACTTTTATTATCTTCACTTTGACGCACCGTACATGCCGAAAGTGGTATTTTCTTTGTCGCGTAACCGCGATCTGATGTTTCTGGTGGAGTTAAACGACCTTCCCACTGTACTATTCAGGACCCGTAAAATCCTGTAGTTTTTTTGGCATATATCAATGTGATGATGCCTGTAAACTGGCTTCTCTCATGTTAAATTCCTAGTATGAGAATAAAAATTTGTTTACTTATCTATAAGTAGTGAATTTAAATGCCACTGCTGCTTTGCGCGGGTGACTCAATTATCCCTTTACCAAGATCATCAAATATTGGTCTGACAAGGCGAAGGTGATACTCAAATGCAGAGGGATTTCTAGTACTATCTGAAAAGCAGTAGTACACACGTATATTAATTTTATTGGCGAATTCGTTTGGCTATCCGTTTTAAATAACCTCTCATCGACGCAACAGAGGATAAACCAAAATTCATATCTTAACTATGGGAAGAAATAAGGCCAAGCGCTCGAGAAAAGACCATCTCAGTGGGAATTCTAAAACGAGTGCTTTGGGATCTGTCTCTAAATGCGGTGAGACAAATGCCTCAACCTGTAGTTTAGATGCAGGAGAAATTATTTTCCGCACACCGATCATCAGAGCCCCAGACATTGTCTTTAGAATGGATACAAGACTCAGGGAAGACCAAAGTGACATTGCCAATATTAGGGTTATCTTATATGATATTCAAGGGACGCTGGAAAAGTTCTCGCTGTTAGCTTGTTTGCATGGCCAAACTGACGCCCTATCAACTGACAGCTTGCAGAATGCCAAAAGTTTAGTAGGCTTCATTGCTAGGTAGGTGATAAAGCGGCTACCAACATCTCAGCCGGCCATAGTGTACAATGTACCCAATAACGTGCGTTTAGAAACTGCTAAAGGCAAGATCCTATGAACTTGCGGCATGGTAAATATACCCTGTAATTGTAAACGTTTACGCAAAAAACTTTCACAAGGCAGTTGCCCCATTATCCTTAAGTTTCTGACGCCATTTTACGCCAAATGTTTAGTGAGCGGCAGAACGTCATTAGAGCTAGCTGTATTTCAGAGAAATTGGTATTATGCAAGACAGAACACCGTGCAAACACAGAAAGCACTTTAAGGATGATTCATTCTTTCCGTATACAGTTTTAAAGGCACCTGAAAGCATGGAAGGAACACCCGACAGCAAAATAGTGTGGAGCTATCCGCCAGCATCATCCAGGAAACGGGCGCTGGTGGACCTTGAT